TATATATTTAAGCAATATCACACGAGAGGGAGTGATGTTGTACTGTGATATCGTCACGGCTGTGATTCGGTCGTAGGTACGAGGCCGCAGCATCAAAAACTCAGCTCAGCTGCACGACAGTTACAGGTCATGACATCAGAGGGAGTGTAGTGTAAGGTTTAATCTTTAATCAGGTAAAGGTGTTATACTGCATAAGTTGATTAAGAGTAAAGGTTATATAACCATGTTTTATGTATAAGGTCCTATAAAACTGTTTGTTATGCATCTATGTGTGATAAAACACTGTTATACAAGTCTATGTATTCATAACACAAGGGTATGTATTCACATTGAAGAGCACACATATACCACACCATGTACTGTTTAATAATAACACACACACACTAACATTTGTATTGCATGACACACACTCTAATAGTTCACATTGCATGAAAGCACAGGGGATTGTATAGAGAAAGTCTGCAGGTTTCATATGTTTTTAAAAAATAAAGTGAAACCAGGCTCGAACCCAACGGTGGGAGAATTTGTGGATTTCCAGGCCCAGGGATTACACCATTAGGTCATGTTTGGACAAGGGCCCAAGGGGCCTGCCACCAATAGATTTGGACCAGATGGAAAAGGGCTAAAAAGAAAAAGACCTGCCACCAATAGGTTCGAACGCAGGTAGGAAGGACTAAAGGGAAAGGGTGGAGATTCTCTCGAATCTTCACCAGCATAAAAGGGAGAGCGCAGAAAGTGCAACTTTAGTCTTGCTCCGGAGCTGACTCATGAGTTGTATGTGTTGAAGCTTGTGAACACATTAAACTCAATTGTACCAGATTCCATTTGACTCCAGTGTTTCTCTAAGTGTCAGCCAACTGAACCTAAGATCCTAAATCAACTCAGAGGACGATCTGCAAGAGAAGTAGAGGATGAGGTCGGGAGCCATCTGGCCCACTTCCAGGCACCGATTTTCGCTTCTACAGGAGCTGCTGCTGTAACTGCGAGCTCGCAGGCACAGGCTTTACTGAAACATTTGTGACATGACATTCCTTTAAAATGAAAGTGTTTGATAATTATTTAAACATATTAAGATAAGATAAACTTTACTGATCCCACATTTTGGAAATTCACGTCGCACAGACAGAAAATGGAGGGTGACAATGTATACTTAAATAAAAAAATTAAAGATTAAAAATAGAAAGTATATATGTGTATATATATATATTACTCACATCTGTGATAGTCAGGCATCCTCAGGGTGAACCACGCGTCTCGCCCAGTGTCAGCAGGGATAGGCTCCACCCCCCTCACGACCCCTAACAGGACAAGTGATTATGGAAAATGAATGAATGAGACAAAATGTCTCCAAAGCAGAAGCACACTAGAAACACATTCAGCAGCAACATGAGTCCAGCTGTGAACATCTGGCCCGTCTGTGTTTCAGTGAACAGTTACACTGCTTTATTTAATTTCTGTCTCCTCCCAGTGGATAATGCGTTATTACAACTAATAAGCCGGCGGCACTTCCATGTACACAGAGTAACACTCGCCACTAGGGATGCACCGAATATTCGGTAACCGAATATATTCGGCCGAATATTGCAAAAAACCTCACATTCGGTATTCGGTGGAATAAGTTAAAAGCAAGGCCGAATAATAGCGGCGTTTAGATAACGCAATCAAACGGCGTGCCGTGACGGGCGGAATAAAATGTCGGTAGTGTGGCGATCCGTCTGTCACCACACTCGCATTTGCGACTAAAAATAGTTTTGAGCGAGCAAAATAGGCTTAAATCATTCAGCACGCTGTGTGAGCAGCCTACAGATTTCAACCATCAGCAGAAATGAAAGGCGAATCCCACCGATTGTGGGTTGAACGGGGGTCACAGACAGAGACAGTAACGATGGCTTACCAGGCGACAGAGAAGTCGGTTCCAATAATATCCTCTTCTTGGTGTCATGACTGCCCAGAAGTACCTGAACAGCCGAGCCAGCCGAACACAGGTATGTGACGTGTCAGAGGAGAAACGAGCCTTTCACATTTCTCTGTTTGTGGCAGTAATGGCCCACAAACCTCACCGCACTTTAGGGACTGTTCTTTACTTGTCAGGGGAGGAGGGTGGCTGGTTGATTTTTATGTTATTTATTTATTTTATTTTGATTTTGATGTCTGGACAAAGGCAAAAAGGCCTGCCACCAACAGGTTTGGGCCCGGGTAGGAAGGGCTAAAGGAAAAGGGTGGAGATTCTCTCGAATCTTCACCAGCATAAAAGGGAGAGCTCAGAAAGTGAGTCTTCAGTCTTGCTCCGGAGCTTGTGAACACATTAAACTCGACTGTGCCGGATTCAATTGGTCTCCAGTGTTTCTCTGAGTACCAGTCAACCGAACCTAAGATACTAAATTAACACAGAGGACGATTTGAAGAGAAGGTGAGGACGAGGTCGGGAGCCATCTGGCCCAATTCCAGGCACTGATTTTTGCTTCATCAGGTGTTTTTATTAAAATTACTTAAATAAAATCCTCTCTATCTTTTAGGACTTCTCTCTTCAACATGGAGACGACAGCAGGTTGCAGTCAGCAGGTAACTCATCCTTCAGTTTATTTACCTGAGTGTTTTAGAGTAGAAATATAAAGTAGCATTAAATGTAAACACTCAGGTAAAGTACACGTACCTTAACTTTGTACTGCAGCACAGTACCTGCTGTTAACCCCTTCCTGTCTTCTCTTCAGTGCAGCAGCTGTGACGCCTCCTCAGCCAGATGTTGGTGCGTGGAATGTAATGAAGCCCTGTGCGACATCTGTGTGTCGGCTCATCGCAGAGTGACGGTCACCAGATCTCACCAGATCCTCAACCAACCGCCAGCAGGTTGTTTCTACAGTAGCCCAGAATGGACAAATAAAACACTGGCTTTAGATAGGGCTGTGTGCGTTTAAGAAGTTTTAGTTCTGCAGCATCACAGCTAGACACCACTAAATCCTACAGACTGGACCTTTAAAATAAAAAACAGTTTAATCTGTTTCCTCCTTGGTGTCTCTGTCCTGCTGTTCTCCCTCTGAGGATCAATACAGTTTATTCTGATCGGCTTTTTGTCGCAGGATGTTAACAGTGTCTGTTTTCTGTCTCCAGGACACGTCTCAACTCCTCCCACCAAGTTCTGCAGACACCACCCGTCTGAGCCGCTCAAACTGTTCTGCTTCACCTGTCTCCAGCTCACCTGCAGAGACTGTCAGCTCACGGCTCACATGAACCACAGGTGAGCACAGGTTTAACTCCAAGTACAAGATTATTGTTACAATCAGTAAATCATTTATTGGTCACATGGAATTTAAAAAATGCTGAAGAGGTTTTGCGGCTCAAAATGAGGTGCTTACTCACTGCGGCTACCTGGGGGGAGACCGGGGTCAGCCATGGTGTTTCTGCAGCTACGTCATCCCTCCACCGGGACGGTGTTAACAGCGCCAATCGTAAATGAGTGCCGATGTAGCAAGCTGCAGAGTTTTCAACTTTTCAGAAAACTTTGGAGTGAGATTTGAAGGAAGTTGGGCGGGGTTCCTTTGAAGGGTCGCTGCCATACTAAGGATGAACACAACAGGTCACAGACATGGGCAAAGTGTTTGGTCTGTCAAAATAAACTGTTTGGTAAATTTGGAAGAAGCAAGACAGAAGAGGCTCTGCGCAGGAATCCTGAAGTAAAACCTTTTAAGAACTTTTTAAAGAAAGTTTTCACAGCCTACGGTTTAAGACTCGAGCGCTGCAGGTGAAGTTTGTCTTAGCATCCAAGGCTAACGTTAGCTAACCAGTGGAGACTGGAGGGTGGGCAGTGGGCTCCATGTTTCCACATGTTTAATGACGTTAGCCGTCTGTCTGCAGAGCCAACAGATAATGAAATACAAGAAAGAAAACATTAAAAGCATTGAGTGAATTTACAACTGAAAAGGAGCAATGCAAGACTGTAGTGTAACGTCAGGACTCAGGTACAGTGTAACTCACTGGTTAAAAATAAAAATAAACCTAAAAATTTAGAAATTAATTAATTATTTTTTTGATATGATAAACAACATGTTAGGGCACATTAATCAGAGCGTGCACGGCTGCATGTAAACAGGAATATTAGTGTAATATTCATTTTCTTATTGACCATGCAAACTGTTGAGTCGTGATGTCTTTTTCAGAATAAGGGCAAAAACTATTTAGTGTCATGTAAACGTAGTCAATGTCTCTCCTCCTCTCAGGTATCAGTTTGTCAGTGAAGCGCTGGACAGCATGAGGAAGCAGCTGGATGTCTTAGTTCAGCCAATCAGAGCACAGGGAGACACAGTGAGGCGGAATCTGCTGGACATGAAGACCAGGTACAGTGTGCAGAGGATGAATGTGACTGAATAACAGCAACTAACATGGAAACACTTTGCTTAAATGATTAGAAAAATAAAACAATAGGATGATGAATAAACGACAGTTAAAGGAAGACCCACAAAATGACCATTTGTCGATCAATAATTCATTGTGTGTAACCTTGACTTTTTTAAGGAAAACTTTATTTTTCTCACATGCCTTCACAGTGAAAGCAGATTCCAAAAAGGCGAACGTTCTTCATGAATTGAAGTAAACAGGGACCGACAGCTAAACTGCATCAAAACATCTTTTTACAAACTCTCACAAAACTCGTGCAGTATAATCTAGGGCTGGGCGGTATACCGGTTTGTACCGAAAACCGGTATTTATTTTCGTTATGATATGAATTTTTCATATACCGCAATACCGGTGAATAGCCCAAACAACGTCCGGAATGTGCGCGGTGGGAAAGTGTTTCAGCGGGGACCCATTTCACCGCTGCACACCACAGGCACGCTTGAGCAGGTGAGAGTGAGAGCATAGAAAAGTTTAGAGGCGAGAATGGCTGCCGGAGAGAGTCCTGAAAGCAAAGCAACTGTACACGATGACCCAGAAGAACTCATAGCAAAAAGAGCAGTGTTTCCCCTATATGCAACTAGCAGCGGCGCACCGCCGTTTACAATTCTCCTCTGCCCTCTGTATCGCGCATGGCGGAGTTTCGCCCCAATGCGCGTGCGCACACACACACACCGACAAAGCGCACACACACAGGTAAGCATACTAGAGCACGGCTCGGACTGCATTTTCCTGACCGAAGACGACCCGTCCCGAGTCCGAGACAGTTACGGCCGGGCTCCACCGGGCACGTCAGCGGCGCGACACGTCTGCAGCGCGAGTCCCGTAGCAGCTTGCCCCCTCGGTTAATCAATTACAGTGGCTGCACTGGCAACGGGAGCGGCGCGACAACCCCCGTCTGTCGCGTAACAACTCTCTATTTTACGTGGCTCTTCTATTTTTGTTGCGCTACGCTCCCCTACACGACCCTCCAGCAGATAAAAACTACATGAAGTAGTGTGCTAAACGAGCACAATGTGTTTTTAAATGAATAAACCATTATCAGAGGTGATATGTGATGATTTGTTTTCATGCATTTACCCATGTTTATCCGTGACAATGTGTTAATGTCCGTGGCGGACATTTACACATTGTTCGCCGCGCTTTGGAAAGCAGAGCTAGATGGTAAACAAACATGGCAGCACACCGGTAAGGTAAGACAACACGTTTACATGTCGTTTTCTATATGTTCTCTGACATTTATCCTAACGATATGAGGCGGTCTTTGTGGAAAAAAAGCTTGTTTAGTGGACTAACTTTGCACTTGAAGGTTGCCCGTTCACTTACGTTTTAACAGGTCTGACGCTACTATGCGCCCCGGCTGTATCTAGGCTAACGGCTAACATGCTAACTATTATTTTTATGTCACTAGTCACTTGAAACAAATTTAGGACGATAGGAGACAGGTTGAAATAAACTGAAATTTCCCTTTAATTGTGGACCGTGTTTACTTTCAGTCATGACGAATTTGCACCTTTTTTGGATTCTCTGTTCACCTTGATTAAGCCTTGATTAAGCCTTGATTAAGCCTTGATGAGGCGTGAGAGAAAACCAAAGTTTTCTTCATGAATTCAAGGTACCAAGCGCTGAGTAACTGATATACAAATGGTCTCTTTAATGATTTCTGTTTGAGCTGCTTTTGTTTTTCAAGCTGAACACGTCTTTTTTTACAACATCCATCTTTGTTTTCAGGTTCAGGTTCTCTCGTTAAATCTGTTTCCTTTTCTAAAGATCGTCATCTTTAAACCTCTAACTAACGTATTTAGTTGAGTGAATGTTGTCTGTGGTGGATTAATGATCTCTCTGCAGCACATTTAAAGCCTCTGCCAGTTAATGTTGATGTGAAGTGAAACCAACGGTTAGTATCAAGTATCGATCTCTAAATAAAACCTGTGTGTGTGTGTTGATGTGTTTCAGGCTGAAGGACATCGCTGACAGTAATTTTCTTCTGATGACTGAGCTGCAGCGTTCGTACAACCTTATAACTCAACATCTGAAGAGGAGGATGGAAGACATTTTGTCAGAAGTCAAGGTAACATAGATCATTTTTTTATAAGAATATTTTGGAAAAACAGATTCAGCATGTGTCAGCAGTGGAATCCAACAAATCTAGACTTGTAGTAGCTGCTAGGGCTGATTGGTCCATGAATGCTGGAATTGACAAGCCACTTCCTGTTTGGTTGCGAAACATGGAAAAATCAGCACCTTGCCAAGGTGACATGGTTTGATGAAAACTCAAGCTTTGAGTTCATTTTTTATGTCAAAAATTGAAAGCAATCAGATTACATCTCTGTGAGGAGTTTGTGAAGGTATGACCCCTGGAAGTGGCCAAAAATGCACAAAAATTACACATTCAATCCAAAATGTCTGACTTCCTGTTGGGTTTTGAGTATGGCTCCAAGAGACTTTTTTGTACATCTCGAGATTTTACTTGTGCCTGCCAAGTGTTGTACATGTAGGTGAAACCAGCTTCGCTGGCTGCTTCGTCAAAATTTAATAGAGCGTGCTACTGAGCCATTTTTTTCACACCCAATCATGACACCTATATCAGCAGTAAACTCACACCAGTTCTGATTTGTGTGCAAAGTTTCGTGAGTTATCAAGCACCTTAAAAGGATAGTGCACCCAAAAATGAAAATGCAGCCATTATCTACTCACCCATATGCCGAGGGAGGCTCAGGTGAAGTTTTAGAGAGGAGGTAGCAACAAGGCTTCACTCACTTTTCTCCAAGCCCAATCCTTTTGTGTTCTGTCTGACGTTGTAGTACTGACGCTGAGTGGTAGAGCTCTGGGTGCCCACAGACATCCACAATAAGTTTGTCCTCCATTTCTAATGCTCTGTAACATCAGGAGAATCTCACCCACATCTCAGCAGTAATGAGCTGTCATGACGTAGCATCGCAAATCTCTTGTGTAGAGAACGGCCTCTCTGGACTTCCCTTGAACCAGTGTTATCAATGAACAAGACAACAAGAGAACACCGAAGGGTCAAATGTTTAGGACTCACGCCTGTATTATCCCCGCCTGGACAAAACCTTCTTTCAGCCATCCTTAGGCCAGCAGGAGTTAAATAGTCACTTGCCATCATAAAGTATCCAGCCTTGGGGCAAAACGCGGTGATGAACGACCCACTAGTTGTCTTGAGACAATGCTTCTTTTCTCAGCCTCATGCTGACCATTCACATTGCCCCGAGGAAATCACGCCCTCCACTCTCTTACCAAATGTTTCTGTGTGACAGAATTGAAATGTCTGTTGGAAGTGAGATACATTTTATCCATATAATATATTTGGAGTTAAAATATAGTCGGGTTTTTAATCAACTTGTTTCCATGAATATGTGCTTCCTCATTTTGTTTTTCATTATATGTTGCAACTATAGGTTAGTCTATAGTGTGTGTGTATTTGAATTAGGCTATCCTGTACTTTGGTGATACACGTGGTATCTATAATCTAGGATTCCTTAGATAAATATTTTGCGCATCCCTGCGTTCCCAATTTAACATACTCTCTCACTATCACCAAATTAAATAACTCAAACAAGTGTTACTTCTTATTTTAATCCATTTATACATACTGTTGATTTTGTGTTATTTTATATTATCCTCATTCATTTATTCAGTTGTTACCCAGTGTTCAGTGTCATCACATCGTGAGTTTAATCCCTCGTTTCTCTTGTGTCTGCTCTCAGTCACAACTCTGAACAGAGTGGATAAGATTCATGATCGACCAGTTTCTTTCTTACTTTTTCTTGATTTCTCGATATATTCTACACACACTTCCCACATCAACGAAACAAAGAGACACAAAGAAAAACAGCACAAAATAAACAACAACACATTCACCCACAAAAACAAACAAGCTGGACCTCAGTATCTTCAGATGTAAATGTCCTCACAGTCAATCTGTCCTGAAACACACCAACACAAACAAAAAACAGCTTTAAGTTCAGAGGCCATATTTCTAATGTCCCCAGTGATCGATCGGTTACTAGTTCTATGTGCTTAATGTTTGTGTTTCTGAGCAGAAGGTGTCTGAGTCGGAGCGCGAGCTGATTGTCAGGAGGATGAGAAAGATGAAGCAGCTGCAGCAGGATCAACAGTCAGTGACTGAAATTGCAGAAAAAGCCAGAAACACCAACGACCTGTCGGCCCTGCAGACCTTCACAGATCAGGTACATCTTTCAATGGTTTAATGTCTGGAACTCTTTCATCTACAGAGTTTGCTCCTGGATAAAGATCCCACATGTTAATCCTTCAGCTGAAGGTGATCACAAGCACACATGGAAAAACCCATGATGCACTGCAGGAAGAGTGTATCTCTCAGTGTATCTGTAAGTAATGTCATTCAGATTAAATCTCTTAAAATAAAGTCAAGCAGCAAGTAACAAACACACTTGTTATTGCATTTCTAATGGCCTCGTCACACCCTCCTCGTTTGATCAGGACCAAAATTTCAGGTGTAAAAACTCCTCAGACCCAAAGAGGCGGTTTCAGTCCGGATCAAACTGAACCATGGTTCAGTTTGTGTCTAACGTGGAAACATTTTTGGATGGTTTGGACTTATGGGTTACTGACACTTAGGGGGGCCAAACACATGCTGCGTTTTTATAAGGACCTCAAATTCACTGTTTCCAATATAGACACGCGACAGGCACGCTAAAATAGAGCACCTATTTTTCAGGGCGCAGAGAAACATAATTCTATCTTAGAACGCAGCAGCACACACTGAATGGAATGTGATGAGGAACAACCAATCACAGCCGACAGATATCTTTCTGTTCTTCGGAAATATGAGTGTATGATAAATAATGAAATGTTGCTCAGTTTAGTGCAGAGCTGTCAGAGCAAACAACGTCTGGAAGAAGATCAGCTCTGCACTCAGGATTTCAGGTAAATAGGCTGTGATACAGTGCTTGATAAAGTTGCTTAGCAACCTCAAACGCAGCCTGCCGCTGCGCTCTTGAAAGCTGGCACAGAGCAGGCATAAGAGTAGCACCCAGCGTCTGACCTCAGGTTTTCCAGGCGGTTAAAGACGCAGCATGTGTATGGCGTCTAAATCATTTTCTGGAAGGATACGAGAGGATGGCAGAGCCCAAATACAGACCAATCAATGTCAAGTATCGGAAGACGCAGCTTATGTAGGTGATTGTTTTTTCCTGCTTAGAGAATTATAAGAGGGCTGCCTTTGTCAAATTTTGTCCTGCCTCCAGCTCTCGACAAAACTGACAGGTGTCACAATGGAAAACACCCTTTTCTATAATAATAATAATAATAATAATAATACATTTTATTTGGAGGCGCCTTTCAAGTCACCCAAGGTCACCTTACAGAGCGTAGAAGATAAAAGACATCATTAAAACAAAACATCAACATAAAAACAAGCACTGTACTCGGTGGGTTTCTGTCATTTGTAACAAGATGGTGGTGCTGTATTGAAATCAGCGCAGTGCACTGTGAAAGGCTGGGAAAGACACACTTTGAAGCAGGTAGCCCAGCTGTAATAGAGACGCAAATCCCTGCTGCGCCAATCAAACCAAACCAAACCAGGTTGTGAGTGTTTGAAAAGTGTAAGCGATACAGAGCCAGTCTGACCTCGTGGTGTTTCCTGTCTGCAGATTCAGTCTTACCTGAAGAATCCTCCTGATCAGGACTCGTCTCCTCCTGTGACAATGTCTCTTCTGTCAGTCATCACCGACTCTGTGTCTTTGGAGGCCATTTTGAACTTTGGTGAGTTAGGATATCAGTGGTGGTTTGTCCCCGTGTTTATATCATTTCATTTTGTCTTCAGTTTAGTTTCGACCTCTTCAGTTAAAAAAAAGTTAGTTAAGTGTTTAGTGATTGAATATTTAAAGAAATGTTTGATTTAACAGGTTTTATTAAAAATTTTAATGTTGTGTTCCAGTTTTCTAACACTGATGACTTCACGTTTGTCATTTTTCTGATTGGCTCTAATGTCGATGACAGTTTATTGGCTGTTCCTGCTGCTGACGTGACGTTTCTGTTTCCAGGTAAACTTGACATAAAATGGGTCCCCTTTGCCGTCACTCAGACGTCCAATCTAAACACTCCAGCAGCCGCCGCCGCCTCCTCCTCCTCGTCCTCCTCCTCCTCGTCCTCCTCCTCCTCCTCCTCGTCCTCCTCCTCCTCCTCCTCCACCCTCCCCCAAAGCAGGACTGCTCAAGAATCATCTGTCTCATCTGTCCCATTTAACTGTCCCTCTGCTTCGTCAAAGTCCTCATCCAATCAGTTGAGTCCTCCTCCCTCCTCCAGCCTGAGCATCATCCAGTCCAGTGCTCCTGTGACTAAGATCACTGCACCCACCTTTACTCCAGATGTCCAGCATCCTTTCTCATTGTCTCACCTGAAGAAGAACCAAACAAAAATGTCAGTGCCTGTTTCTACTTTAGGGAACCTGGAGCCTGTGGGCTACCTTGTCCCCCACTCAGCAGGTCCGTCTCCAGGCACCAAACTCCAACTTTTGAACCAACCGACCGCCCCCGGTCAGAACCAGTCCGCCTCCATCATGCTGAACTACACTCAGGCTCTGTACCAGGTGTCCTGCTTCACCCTCCCGTCTGTTGTGCCTCAGTTTTACACGATGCGCAGTCTGACCTCAGCCACAAACACCCAGGATAAACAGCAGAAGGGACCATTCAGCTCCGTCTCAGTCAATCATCAGGTACTTCCTTCAGCCACCACAGGAAACAAGAACTCTTCCCAACCAGGTGTCACGGTGCTGCCAAGCCACGACCCAAAATCAATGCATCAACCTCTGACAGATATAAACTGTCCTACAGCCAGCAGCCCTGCGTCCTCCAGCCAGCCTCTCACCCCTGCTACTGACTGTTTCACCAAGGACAAACGACCTGTGCCAGAACCTCCAGGATGTTTACACCCCTTTACCCCCCTTGATATCAGCCCTCATTCTTCTACTCTGAAACACCAGCAGCAGAGTCCTGTAGTGAGGGCGGTGGCAGACTCCGCCTGTGACCGCAGCGTACAGCAGGTCGCAGTGAGGCGGCAGGAACCTGCAGAGAACGAACCAACGTCCACAGTGTCTGGGGATCCTGCGCCTGCAAGGGAACCATCTGCACCTGTAGTGTCGGATATAGAATCTGCTCCTGAAGTAACAGACAGAAAGGCTGAACCTGAACCTCAAGTACTGGAGACCAGCGCTGAACTTGAACCTGAAGTATCAGACGGAGAAGCTGAACCTGAACCTCAAGTACTGGAGACCAGCGCTGAACTTGTACCTGAAGTATCAGACGGAGAAGCTCAACCTGAACCTGCAGTACTAGAGACCTATTTTGAACCTGGACCTGAAGTATCAGACGGAGAAGCTGAGCTTGAACCTGAACCTGAAGTATCAGACGGAGAAGCTGAGCTTGAACCTGAACCTGAAGTATCAGACGGAGAAGCTGAGCTTGAACCTGAACCTGAAGTACTAGAGACCAAAGCTGAACCTGGACCTGAAGTATCAGACGGAGAAGCTGAAGAAGGGAGCTCAGTGATTGGATACCTGAACTGCGGTCTTAGCCAATGGCAGCCCAGAGTGTCTCTGTACAGGCTGCCTGTATCTTTGCCCCGCCCCGGACACCCCCTCCCTGGTTTTCGTCTGGTCCTCGGAGATGCTGAAGACGAGATTTTCCTGGAAGAGATGAGCGATGACAGTCAGGTAGGAGGTCACCTCTGAATCATAATCAATATTTTACAAATCAGGGAATCAACGTGTTCTCGTACTTTAACTGACTCAGACTAACATGCTGTGACAAACAATCCTGTTAATTCTCATCAAGACAACCTGGTTCTTTGAAGGCAGTTTGAGGTTTGATTGTCTTGAATAATAGCGCGCTCTTATTTTGAAATAAAGGTAAGAAGGGCAGAAAAATGAAACCATGAATCAGTATCAAGTGATTGGCTGAGCACTGATCATGTGATTGCAGTGATGAGGTGTGAAGCTGAAGGAATACCTCACCTGCAGTGACCATTTGTTTATCACTGCCGTTACTCACTGCGTATTATTTTAAATTTGTAAAGAAAACTTTGATTTTCCTGCACTCCTCCTCGGTGGAAGAAGAATTCAAAAAAGCTGAACATTCTTCATGAACTGAAGTAAACAGCAAAACATCCGTTGACAAACTTTGACACGACTCGTGCAGTATAATCCAAGTCTCCATTCTGTCACTGACCATGCGAGCGAGCGGTTGGGAGGCGGGGTTAAAGGAAATGCGAGTGCGCTTTCTCTGTGTGTCACATGATGCAGAAGATCTGGGTCATTTTACACCTGAAGTCTGACGTTTTTTGCTTCATGTGCTGCTGAGCAACTCTCCCAGGACTGAACGGGGCCCCGCCTCCTACGCTGTATCCACTTCTCTTTATACCTTCATGGTTCCTCTCTGCTGTGTTACAGTCTGACGATGATGACATCATTGAGATACTGCCATCATCACCAGAGTCACCTGTGATGCTGATGATGGTCACGTGCTCCGCCTGTCGATCAACCAACGGTTCAATAGTCTGCACAGCCTGCGGTCGAGGATATCACCGAGACTGTCACATTCCACCTGTCGGACCTCACATACGGTAACCATCAGTCAGAGCCTACTTGAGCCTGAAAGCAGCGAAGCAGAAGTGTCTCCTGTGTCGATGTCTGTCAACAGTCACTATCTTTTTAAACCTTCTTGGTGTAAATGTGGCCCTCCTCTTTGTCTTCCAGGTCAGAGTGGATCTGCTCTCTGTGTCAGGACCTGTCAGACCCCTCGGACCCCTTCAGCTGTGACAGACCTCCGAGACTTCAGAGTTACGGTCTCAGTCTGCTGGACCAGAGGGTCAGAGTCCACATGTCGATCTCTCACAGTGTTTCCTGTTGTGTGAGCTGTAACAGTAGTTGTGTGGATAAAAGCAGAAACAGGGACGAATTCACAAAGAATGGATTGAGGCTGCTGACAACACCATGAATTTAGCATCACTTTTAACCGTTATCTGCCCCGTCTTAAGGTGCGAGTCACAAAGGATACGGCACTGATGATGTTACAGTGCAGAGTTTTGCAGATGAGTGCAGTTTGACCCTTTTTCGGGTCTGATTGTAGTGAATGTGACAAAGTATAAATGTTATAAATGCACCGAGAGCACAGCAGGTAGAAAAACAGCAGAGACAAAAAGGGAAAAAGAAAAGTTACAGGTCCTGACTGAAGAGGTGCAGAGGTATTCCTCAAAACAGGCAGGAATTTAGATCGTTTTATTAACTGCTCCTGTTGTGTTAGCTCATTGTAACGGGCAGAGAGAGCAGGAGGAGAGGAGGAGGAGAGGAGGAGGAGGAGAGCTGCTCACGGAGACGATCCCTCAGCGCTGTGTTGAGCAGCATCAACAGATGATCATCAGAGTTCCTTTCACTCCACCATTACTAACAAATTCTAATTCTGTGGGGAAAAAACGCTCAAAATTGCAACATACTTTGCAGTTTTTCAGAAGAGCTGCTGTGATTTAGTGCATTTCAGATCTTAACAAAGTCCAGGAGGGGCTGACTGATCTCTGTGATTTAGACTGTTTCTGTAACGAGGCTCATTTGCATAGAAAGTGGCCAAATGTTTGTTTATTACCTCATTTAAATACATGTAAATATCACAGGAGCTCTGAGACGCTGTTTGCTTGGTGGTGCAGTTTGGGGTACGAATAACCAACTGGAGACGAGCTGTTAACAAATGTTATATTAATATTCACACATCAGGAGCAGAGGGAAACACGACTTTGAGTTGTGTTTTATTTTTGTGAAATTCAGTGTAAATTGAGTTCCATGTGGAGAGAAACTTCGCTGTTGTAACTTGTTCCTTTGTGTGTGACGATTGTTTTGAGCTGCTGTGTTTTGTGTGTTTCACAGAGGTGTGAGAGTCTGCTGCTGCAGCTGATGGTCGAAGGCAGCGCTCAATTTTCTCAGGTCAGTTTGTCCACAGTGAGATCTGTAGCAGACCGTAACAGACGCACTGATCCACTGCTTTCAAACCAACAACTCGTTGTGGCTCCTGTGAATGTGGATTATATTCTATACATGTTTTTTATAAACATCAAACATCAGTATTTTCTTTTCATGTCACTTTGTACATCTCACTTCACTGTGTTTGTCTGACAGCTTTACTTATTTTACAAAATTCAGATTTGTAAACAAAGAATATATGAGGAGTTTATAGAATCAGATGTTCTCTTATAAATGTAGTTGAAACAAATACAGCTGAAATTGAAAGTCCAGGAAACAAATAATCGATTGACAGAAAATTAATGTTTAAAACACAAAAGTAACGCACACCAAGAATTATAACGAGGTGCTGATCACTGGCAGTAGACTTGATTATAGATCACATATGAATATAGTTTATAGGCCACACCGTACAGGTGAGTGAAAAACAGTTTAGAGGCCGTCAACAAATAAAGACTTCAAAACCGAAGTGTCAGGAGCTGCAGCCAATCACATGTCAGCAAAACAAATGACAACAGCTGCTACATCATCGACCACATTTCACTTTGACGTACATGTTTTCAGTTCACCTTATTCAAAAATGTTAAAATACAGAAGTGTTTAGTGGTTGTAGCAGTATATAGAAAATTAAAACTATTAAAACTGAAACAGTTTTGACGGCTGAAGTCATTTTTCTCTCAATCATTTCATGGTTTCAGATTCACAAACTTTTCCTTTGAATAATGTTAATAACTGTAATGCATCAGTGATGTCGAGGTTAAACAAACACGTGAAGGTGTCACTTTGGACTCTGACTCATTGTCACAAACATTTCTCACTATTTTTAAACCAATCAATCCATAATTTTATTAAATAATCAGCAGATTAAATTAATTATCCCTTCAAAATTAGCTCCACCTCAAAAAACTCCAACAATAAAATCTTGTTTTTCTATTAATTCATGAGGCAGAATCATCTAATGACATCAAATACAACAGTGTAACAGTCACAGAGGACAGTTTTATACTTTTTAATTATTTTCTACTGATCATACTGACGTACTTTTACACACACTTTCAGTGCAGGAGTTTGACTTGTAACAGAATATTTACTGCGTGTTGTTTGTACTTTTACTGCAGTAAAGGATCTGAACACTTCCTGTGTGTGTAACAGTATATTTACCAGCAGGTGGAGCTCTAACAGAAGCTGCTGCTGCTGCTGATGATGATGATGATGATGATGATGATGATGATGTGTTGTTGTCTTCAGTCTCAGGTGATGTTGGTGTCGAAGCGTCTGACAAGTGGTTCTCCTTCATATCAAACACCTGCAGAGTTCCTCTCAGACATCTGGAGTCTGTTCAAAGACACATCACAGGTACAAAAACGTATTAGTTATCAGTTATTACAAATCATCACGTCCCTGATTGGTCGTCTGAGCCGTCACTTAGCCGTCTCTCTCGTGTCTCCAGGACGACGACGTTCTGAACAAACTGCAGGACCGTCTGCAGCGGCAGTGGTTGACAAGTTTAAAGCTTCTTCCTTCAGTCAGCAGCAACACTGATGGAGTCAGAGGTGCGTTCAGCTCCAACATGTCCGACACACGAGAGGTCACCGGGGGGGGAAAGGGGTCAAAGGTCACAACTGAGAAGAAGGAAGTGATCAGCAGCGAGTCCAAACTGAGGGAGACGAGGAAGAGGCTGAGAGAGTTTCTGGATCTGATGGAAACATCCCGAACCAAGAGGACGAAGGCGGACGACCGCTCCTGAGAGTGAACTATGACATCACGACCTAACAATGTTGAAACCGTTTCCTCTTCCTGTCACATGATGCTGCAGAGTTTCAATTACGTACTTTTTTGTTTGTTTGTTTGTTTGTTTGTTTTGGTCTGTGTCAGGCCCCCACGAAAGCAGCTCCGCTTTGTAGACATTTTCTTCTCAGCGGCTGCTTGTGAAAAATCTCCTGTAGCTCAAAACTCATTTCCCCACAGACCGCCGTTTGAAAGAGACGTCTGTAAAACAGTCGACACCTTGAAGTGCCGACAAGGTCAAACTGTGACTCTTAATGTTCTGAATTTTTGAGCCAGGGTGGTTTTAATTTTGTAAAAGTTTACTGGAGCTGAGAAAAGTGATTAAAATATCTGTGACATCATCACAATGTAAGGTCAATGAGCTGAGCTGGAATTGGTGGGCGGGGCCAGTGGGAGAAACACTACTGTGCCTCTTTAGTGGGTCACATACCTCTGAAGTTATTATCATACGTCTGTGGTCTGTTTTTTGTATTTAACTTTATTTATACTCAGTGTTTTATAATAAACAGCATTTTTTTCAATGAGTTATTGTCCATGGGTTTGTGGGGTGGGGTTTGCTGTGTACATGGGACACCCGTTGTACCCGCTGAGCTACTGGGGACCCTTCCATGAGGATTTCTGATTGTTTATGATCCAAGTTGCATCATAAAACTTAACATGACCACTCAACAGTGCAGATGATAAATGAGAATGTTTTTAAGCTCTGAAGGTCTTTACGTTTTCAGGAGGTTTTAAGTGTAACGTTTAATTTACGACCTCGATACCAGAAAAATTGGGACAAGTAAAACATAAAACATGAATCAAAACAGGATTCAATAATTTGTAGATCTTTTTATTCCTCCACGCTGAAGCCATTGTTTTAGGAAGAGACGCCTGTCCGTCCCAGTTTTCAAGAAGGCCTAGAGGGTATTTCTACAGATTTGGCACAAACGTCCACTTGGACTCAACTATAAACTGATCCGAGTTTAGTAATCAAAGGTCAAGGTCACCATGACCTTGTTTCCATCTCATTCTCGTGAACGCAATTTCTCAAGAACAGCTTTGAGGGAATTTCTTCAGATGTGGCACAAACATGAATTGATTAGGTTTGGTGGTCATAGGTCAAAGGTCAAAGTCACTGTGACCTTGTCTGTCTCATTCTGATGAATTTGATATCTCAAAAATGCCTTGAAGTAATTTTTTTCTGAATTTGACACAAACGTCCACGTGGATGGGAAAATAAACTGAGTAGAATTTTGTGGTTGAAGGTCAAAGGTCAGTGTGACCTCACAAAACAGGTTTTTGGCCATAACAGATGTTTGCAGTCAGTGATGATGATGACGGTGAACGAGTCAGCAGTTAACAGAAATTTAATGTTCAGTTTTAGACCAACAGGAGACGATCAGATTTAAATGAACTCAATTTGTTTCCTCTGACGTAACTTAAATCTGTCAACATGTAGCACACAGGATATATTATATGTACAGCTCATGTAGTCTGCTGAATGTACACTGGGAAATAAACAGTTAAACCTGTGAGGACAACAGTGTGGGTGAAAACAACACACACACATACACACACACACACACACTCTGTGATCTCAGTCCAGCTTCTCATTAACACTAATGACTCAACACTGACCAATCACTGACTGCAGTCTGCTCTGAGGCCCCGCCCCCAGGGTCTATATAAAGACCTGTCAGCAGACCAGGACCTAAACCTGAACCTGAATCAGGAGACCTGAGCCCAAGCGAGGAGACCTGCTGTGGGACCTGTCAGAACTTGTAGTCCAGACCGTGTGGAGCGAAGATGGTGGTGGAAGTGAAAGGTCGGGTGGAGGCGATGGAGGGGAACCAGCAGAGAGTGGAAGCAAACATCCTGCTGCTGGGAGCTCACAGCGTCGGAAAGTCTGGTGAGAAAACTTTACCTCCAAACACAGAAATGACCAAACTCAGTTTCTGTCCAGTTTTCAGGTTCAATTTATACCGAAAATGTTTAATTTGATATTTGTTTCTCTTTTTACTGTCTGGTTTTATTTTGAGGTTTTTTATTTATTTCAGATGATTGTTTGTTTTTAGTTTAATTGTTTTAGAATTTCTGTCGGCTGGATTTTAATGTGGAGCTGACGGGAAGATTAAAAAGTTTTGTAATTAATGTACTGACAAACACCCGGGGATAGATATGATGTCCTGTTTGAATGTGAAATAACATTGTTGAGAAGAGGAAGAAGAACCTGCCAGACACTGTGTAACATCCCCATGTTTAAATTTATATTGTTATTATAGACAGATAAACTGAAGGACAAAATGTAAACTAGGTGCTTTTTAAAAAGTGTTCTGCTCTGGTTGTTTTATGTTTGTTCTCCATACGAGGATCTGTGGTCTATAGTCAATGAATCTCGCTCTAAAGCGATCAGTTGATTCATAAATTAATTTGAAATCAGGCAGCAGCATTTTTCATTTTGTTGTTTAAATGATTTTATCAGTTATTAATTTGTAGAAACTGTTTGAAACCCAGAAAAAAAACATTTATATCAAATATAAAATCAACTGGAGAACTGAATCAGAACTGATGTAACGCGTACAGAAGAGTAGGGATGGTAATTCATAAGATTTTATTGATAACAGTGCCATTATCAATTCAGCTGATTGATCCGATTCTTTACTGATTTCTGATTAATTTTCTGTGTGGAGGACAAAGTGCTCTCGCCACAGGTTTTCAGTGTCCGTACAACTATATAATCCACTGAGTCTGAGCACAGCGTAGATCAGGGGTGGGAAACAAGTTCTCTCTCTCCAGTGTCTCTGAGGCTTTGACAAAACCTGTTAAAATTAATAACATTTCTTTTAACATTTTAAGTTTCATTTACCATGTTTGTAGGCCTACACTGAATCTTAATGTTCTCTGGTTTAAGAATGTGTTGCCTATACACTGAGGACAAAACAAGTTTTAACATTTTATCAAAATAAAATGTGCATCATCATCATCATCATCATCATCATCATGCGAACCTGAGACTGATTCTGGGTTTCCTGCCTTTATATTAACGATCTGTCCGTTTGTCTGTCTGCAGCTCTCACCGTCAGATTTCTGACCCGGAGATTTATCGGAGAGTATGGAGAAATTGGTAAGAACCCACATCAATCCTCAGAGTGACTGTATTTGTTATTATTATTATTATTATTATCAATATATAATCAGCTGATCTGATGTTTCGATCTATTTTCAGAGTCTGTGTACAGTCGAGTCGAGCGGATCGACGGTCAGGAGGTCTGCTTTAACATCTTGGACTCTCTGTACACACAGGTAACAGATAGACAGACACACACACACACACACACACACACATTCTTGTACTTTTATCTTTGAGGACCTTCATTAACATAATGCTCTCCCTGACCCCTCACCCTGCCCTGAACCTAACTGTTACACGAACCCTAAAACCAAGTCTTAACCATCAATCAGGCTTTTGAAGAAGTGAGGAACAGCCAAAATGTCCTCACTCTGTTATTACATGTCATAGTCCTCACAATGTAGCACATACAAGTAGAAACACTCACACACACAGAGGTTATACGAGCTTTAAATTCTAATTCATGGGAAATTTATTTTGAAAGTCTCTGCTAAGTGAATCTGCTGAGAGCTGAACGCGTTGTGTAAAAACTGTGTTTGTATTTGTGGAGAGAAGTTTGAGATTTTCTCATTCACATCAATACAGTTTGATCACAGCAGCATCTGGTGGCCATCAGAGGAACTGCAGCTCAAATATTCTCTTCTCACTGAAAATAAATGTTTATTTGAATCATAATTGATGATACATTTATTGTTTGGTTGTCAGGACGGTGAGATGAGTCCGTCCGTCAGTGACAAACAGCTGCAGTGGGCCGACGGGATCATCCTGGTCTACAGTATCTGCGACCGTCGCAGCTTCGACGTGGTCCGTCTGCAGCTGCAGCAGATCCGTCGCAGCAGGAAGCTATCGTCCGCCCCTGTCGTCATTGTGGGGAACAAACGAGACCTTAGCAATCATCGCAGTGTCTCCGGTGAGGAGGGACGGCTGCTCGCTCTGTCTCAACACTGCGCCTTCTTCGAGGTGTCAGCCGCAGAGACGTACCACGGCGTCCTGCTGGTGTTCCACCAGCTGGTCGACCTTGTCAGAGAGAACCGAGCGCTGAGGAAGAGCTTGGCCGGTGTCCGAGGGATTGTCCGGAGTGTGTCCGCCGTGTTTGCAAAGAAACGAGCCGAGTAGACGAGAATGGAAGAACCCACGGTGACATCACAGTGAACACTTCCTGTCTTCATGAGGGAAGGTCAGAGGTCAGAGAGGTGATGGACAGAGGCAGGTTGGAAGAACGTGTTGACGTGAAGTTGGTCAAAGAAGGTCGTAGAAATGTTTTGTTTCAGAGCGACGTGAGACGGCCCGAGCTGACTCGACAGAAAAACATGCATGGAGACTTTTAGCCAAGCTGGCACCATGGCAACTGCCGAAACATCTAAACAGTGATGACAGTGGACTGATTGTGATGACATGTGATTCATCATTCGTGTTCATGTAATGATCCTTACCTTTCATCCAGCGCCATCATCAGGTCATCATATTAGTGTTTAATGACCTTCACATTAGCCTCACCTGTACTTTAGGTTTACTGCTACAGAGCTAATGTTAGCTAAGCACTAACACGCTAAACATACATGGTGAACAGGGTTAACATTGTAGCTGCTGCACTTTAGCATGTTAGCATTGTTACTGTTAGCATGTTAGCATGTTAGCAAACAAATCCTCATCCTGCTCCTCAGAGGATGAACCCTTCACATTATAATGCTACTGTGGCTGTGATGAACCCTGCAGCCTCTAGAGGGCGCTAACTGGATATGAGACATGTTTCCAGTAAACTTTACTGGTGTCACTGGAAACTTATACTGTGTTTAACTCAACATATTTGTTGATAAAAATCTGTTTAAATGTTTATTTATTGATTCTTGTTTGTTTGTTTGTTGGAGTCATGATTTCAACCTTGTCCACACGGTCACGGGTGTTTTTTGTGTCTTTTTTTGTGTTTTGTTTTTTTGTCCAACAAACTGCGTTTTAGGTCACTGAAAACAAGCCTTTAGTAAAACTCCGTCCAGGCTGAAGGTTTTTAGAAACTTTTTTTTTTAGTGCAGCCTAAAATGGATCAAATCCAGACAGTGAAACAGGTCATTTTATGACGGTTGTGATGCTCAAAAAAAGTCTCCACTGAGTTATTGATGTCTCTTTCGCTATGTCAGTCAATGGTAGCAGTCTTTTTGGGCTGCAAAGCATCCCTAAGTGGTGAAATTACACTGTTTTGCCGCCACAACAATTGGCTTCAAAGCTCCTGGTAGAAGACTTTATGTTGTTTCTTTTTGGGCTGCAAAGCATCCCTAAGTGGTGAAATTACACTGTTTTGCCGCCACAACAATTGGCTTCAAAGCTCCTGGTAGAAGACTTTATGTTGTTGTGCAGCCGTGATGAAGTCCTCAGGATCTGAAGACCGGAGTCAGTGTTGGTGTTTCGACTGAGCCAACAGTTAAAAATCCAGCGTCTCTGATTTAAGATACCGTCACAGGAAGATGAAATATATTGTTGTTAGCCCTGTTACGAGGTCTGGTTAAGATATTAAAGAGGATTGTGTAGATTTTAGTTGGACTGTCCCAGGCCCAAACTTCTCAGGACAACATGGTGGCAGCCATCTTGAATCCCAAAAGGCACCATGGCTCTTGACAGAGCTTCAGTTGTGTTGTTGTTTAATTTGGAGGAGGGAAAAACCATGTTTACAGAAACCCCTGTGTCTGTGTGGAAATGATTTCTGGTTCACAATGTTTCAGTTTATTATCATTATTTCACTTTCTGAGCGTGGTGACGTTCACCAAACACTGCTTGTGTAAATAAATATTTATACATGTTGATGTGATGGAAACAGAACAAGCGAAGGTCAGATGTGAAACTTCAGATGTTGAAAATGACTCATGGTGCTTTTTTTTTTGTTTTTAAATAAAAGCTGAACAAAGAAACTTGAGTCTTTTTTTAATTCTGCAACAAACAAAGTGAAGCTGCAGAGCTCAAAGCTTTATTTAAACACGTCAGAGTATGTTGATACAGACAGAGACACGTTAGTGTTTATATGGAGGGAAACATGGTGACACAAACAGCTGCTTCTTAGATAAGCAATCAGACAGACTGAATTTCTATTTGTTGAAAATGTAAGAGCTTATATTTCTGACGTGAACTAAAAGTCAGTTACAGACACTTTATGTTAAATTATTTAAATTCAGTTCAACTTCAGTCCTGAAAAACATTTCAGATATCCATCAGATTCAGGTCGGATCAAATATAATTAAGGACCATTCTGTCACCTTTCACTATTCTGTCAAAACCTTCATCACATCTCTAAACAACAAAAACAACTCTTCATCACAGTAAACTGAGCCGACGTGCTTTGTCTCAGTACGGTGGCCCAGAGGAGAGAAACAGCCTTTCATAATAACATGTTGAGCTTGAATAAACTTTGTCAAACAGCAATTTGTTTCCAGAGCTTTCAGTCACGTCTCGTGGACCTCAGCAGATGTATGTGAGACTCAATGATGATGAAGGTCATGAGATGTGACTGAAAGCACTGGAAAAACCACGTCAGCACATCTTGTCACTAATTTGTTTTCGGAGGAGTTTTAAAGTAAATATTTTATGGAATAAACATTTTTTATAAACTGTACATTTAAAATATGCTAATAATAATAATAATAATAATAATAATGAAGTCGACTGAAATATAAATTTATATATAAATTCTTGATGAAAACTAAAAGTCAAACCGCAGCTGACGAGGCGTCGTTAAATCTTTCCTGTTTCTGTTACAATAAAATAAAACCTGATTTATGAATCGACTCGTTTTTCAGAGATCTAAACTAACTTTCCGATCGCTCTGTTGATGAACGTGTACGAACAAACCAGCATCAGCTGAGGCAGAAATGTGTCATCGTTGGGGTATGAGACGGGATTCTGTGATTGGTCAGGGGGTGGGACCAGCAGTGGTGATTGGATCAGAGATGTCAGCGTGGTGTTTAAGAGTCGTCTGTTTCCATGTCGTCGGTGCCGTTGGTGCCGTTGGTGGCACTGGTGCCGTTCTCGGGGGTGTTGGGGCTCAAGTACTCGAACGCCTTCTGGCTCTGGGAGACAAACTGTTTGAGCGGAGCGAGAAGCATCTCCGTGGCGGATGGACGGCGGTGCGCAGTGACCTCGGAAGGGAGCTGCAGGCTGTCCAGCTCTATGGCTGGAAGGTCCTTCACGCTGGAGCGGCGGCGGGGGGCGTTGGTGGGGTCTGGGCTCTGGGGGCCAGAGGGGCTCCGGGCAGCACGGGAGTAGAGACTGCGGCGGCGGCGAGGACGTCCATCCATAGCTTTTAGGAAGAGGCTGTTAGCAGAGCTGCGACGAGCCGAAGACTCAGCCGAGAAGTCCTCCTGGTTCAGGAAGTCCTCCACCTCCTGAGCCGTCGGCTGCTGCAGCTGAAACATACGAGTTCAGATTATTTTATCGTCCACACACTGCGACTGGAAACAGGAAACTGGTTGCTCAGCTACACCAAGAAATGTGTGTGTGTGTGTCTCAGACGGTGAGTCCGTGAGCCTCACCATGGTGTAGAGCGGCGTGGCGTTGATCACCAGCTGCAGGAGGAGCTTGGAGAGTTCCTGCAGGTCTCCGAGCAGCTGCTGGACCTGAACCGGCAGTTCTCTGATCTGACGCACGGGACGCAGCTCAGCTAACATGACGGCCTGATGTTTGACTCCGCCCACTGTCAGCTCCCGCAGACCCTCTGCCCGGTACACCAGCGCCACCAGGAGGCGCTGCAGGTACTGCAGCAGCTCACCAACCAGATCCAGGACTCCACCCAGGCCCACCTGCAGGGAACAGAGGAGGTCAGCAGCTGACACAGCAACCAGCACCAGAGTGAGGCCCCGAGGCCCCCTGAAGACCCCTGAGGTCCTCTGAAGCCCCACAACAAAACCTGATCCACTCAGAAAATCATGACATCACCACATGTGAAACACAAGAAACTGTGAGTTCCCAGATTATTGTTCATCTTGAATCTCATTGTTTTTATCTTAATAATTCGATCAGGACTCTTCTGGCTCCAGATTTTCTCAACATCCTGTAAAAACATTTTTTTCTCCCAAAAAACCAAACACAAGAACTTAATTACCTTCATCATATCAACTCACTCATGAACCTGCTGCTAACACTGCTAATGCTAACACAACACTTCCTCCTGCTGCTGCGTCACAATAAAACACTTCAAGTGGACCAACACATGAGCTCTTATTGTGACGCAGCCACAGGAAACAAGGCATTGACTGAAGCCTGATGGGAACAAGAGGGGAACATGACCGATACATGATGGGAACAAGAGGGGGATGCAACCGAAATATTATGGGAACATGACAGAGACATAGCAGGAACACGCCGGGGACAAGATGGTAACACAACGGGAACATGACAGATACATGATGGGAACAAAATGGGAACACGACAGAAACATAACGTAAACTTTCTGGAAACGTGATGGGAACACAATTAAAAAATGCTCTGCACTAAAACAAGAACATGATGGAGAAATGACGGAAACACGACGTGATGACGCTGATAACTGAACAGCTCACTAAGAGAACCGTCACCTTCAGCTCTTCTTTCTCTGTGACCTCAGTCAGAGGTCAGAGGTCAGCTCTGTCTGTCTATCCAGCATCTGCAGTAAACGTTCTGTTGTCCTGATGGACGTCTGATCCAAACAGGACTTGAAAGCTTCTCGGAGTCCAGCTGGCAGCTTCAACAGTTTCCCAGCACACCAGAGAACAAGAGGTCTGGACTGAGACCAGCTCAGAGCTGCGGACTGAGACACGTGAGGACGGCCGCCAGAGTCACGCCACGAGGACAGAGACAGCAACAACAAGGACAGCGACAGCAGGGGGCTGATTCAGGGACAGTCAGAACGGGTCCTACTCTCAGGACCAGCAGTGAAAATAAATTGAGAAATAACTGAGCATCAGAGTCTGAACCTGTGACGAGCTCAGACACAAACACAACCAACAAATCAAACTCTGATGGTCGGCACGGCTCCTCAGTTACAGAAAAACATCATGATTATTATTATTATAAATTATTATTATTATTATAAAATTATTTACAAAATTTAAGACATTCACAGCATAAACTGGTGCAAACAAACTGGTGCATAAAAATGAACCAGAATGCAGGAAATTGAATGTTTGACCCTCAAAATATTCTGTTTCATATGCATGATGAATTTTCTGTACATCAACTGAATGAATCAACTTTCAGCACCAAGTAAAACCTTAAAAAGAGGAAATCCACACTTGAATTAAAAGCACAAACCTTTACGAAACTGGTTGGTTTTAACTCATTAAAATGGGAAATGTTTTTATTGTCCAGGTCATTTGTACGTATGAACTGTATTTATTTTGTTTGTGATGCTTTTTACTGAAGGCGAACAATCCTTCCATTTTTCTTTTCTGTTGAATTAGCTACTTTTTAATTGCATGTACAATTAATTTTATTATGTCTCAGGTTATCTATGTGTCCTGGCATTATAAATAATCTAGAGATTTTAGTCATCTACATTTGCAAATACCAAGTGTTAACTTCCAGGCCTTAAAAGTGAAGCCAACGCTGAAGTGCCAAAAACTGCAGTTCTTCAAATGGCCACTTGAGGCTGGCTCCAAAAGCGAGTACATGTACAAGGGTCCCCATAGACCCAGGCCCCCAGGAAGGGCCCCTGGACTTTGAAGTCAATTTTTGTAGTAGCAAAACCATGACTGTATAAAGAGACCTGGATCCAGTGTTGAAGGTGGCCCCCGTTCATTTCTATCAAAGTTACTCAGTGAAGCCAAAAAGCTCTGTTTCTACAGTATGAAATTACCTGGATCTTCTGCACTGTGGGGCCCATAATAACACTCAGTCAGTAACACTCAGTCAGTAACACTCAGTCTACTTTCAAGGAGGACTGGTTTCTCGCAGAGTTAAACTGGGAGCACTGGGTTTAACCCCTGGTTCATTTTTCAGAATTATAAACAGGCTCAGGACATTTTGAGACAATCTGACGAGTCGTCTCGAGATTTAAACCACCAGAAGATAACTTAATAACGATGGTGATGATGATGATGATGAAGGTTCACAGACAGAAGAAACAACATTGATCAACCAAACAGAGAAACGTGATGAAACCAGTGAAACCAGTGAGGAGAGGAATCTGGTTCCTGCTGGCTGCGTTCAGTGAACAGAGACTCTGCAGGGTCTCATCAGGTATCTGGGTCAGACTGGGACAGAAGGTCGTGACCTCTGAGCAACAGCCAGAACAACACGAGAGGACGCTACCAGGACGGCTGCCAACACACACACACACACACACACACACACACACACAGTCTCATTATTGTGAAGCTCAGTCGGCAGCTCGCAGTTTTTAACTATGATGATAAATGTTATTATAAATAATGTTATCATAAGATGTGATCATGATTTAAAACATGTTTGAGTCTGTCAAAGCTCCAGTGTGTCAGATTCAGGAGGAAATAATATAATCCGTCTGTTTTCTTTAGTGTCTAATCGGCTGAAAATGAGACTCGTTGCATTTTTGTCATCTTAGAATGACCAGTTTATATCTACACAGGGAGCAGGTCCTCATCTACAGAGGTCACCATGTTGCACCACCATGTTTCTACAGTAGCCCAGAATGGACAAACCAAACACTGGCTCTAGATAGAGACATTTTCACATCAGCTATTGTAGTCAGAAGGCCCACGATGACGACAGCGTCGGAAAAATACAGAATAATTTACGTCAAAACAGCAATAATGAAATGATTAAGCAAACACTGAGTATCAGACCAGCTTGAGTGCTTTTACTCCAGTACAGGATCTGAATATTTCTTCCACCACTGGTCGAAACAGATGAACATAAAACAAGTGAGTGTGTTACAGTAGTTCATGATGACAGAGGGTAAATAAACACAGCGGCACAGTGAGTGTGTTCAGACGCCTGGTGCAGCACGTACACACAGTCAGATCTCTGCAGAGGAAACTGTTATCAGGGATGGAGCTCCTTATCTTCCTGTGTGCCTCTTTAACTGGGCGGAGAGGCCGCTCTGCTGATTTTATAAAGTTTATGTCTCCGTCCAGTCTGGCTCCTCTCCAAATGAAACTGCAGCCTCTCCTGAAGAAGAGCAGTGCTGATGCTACTGTAGCCAACAACTATCGGCCTGTTTCTGACTTCTTAAGTAAAGTTACTGACTTAGTGAAGCTGAACAGTTGCTTTGATAACTCTGAGTCAGGTGTTCGGCCCCGTTACTGAGGCTGCACTCAGAGAGGTAATAACTGACATTCACCTGAACACAGACTCAGAGTCTCTGTTTCAGTGCTGATGGATTTAAGTGCTGTTTTAGAGAGAGAAGACCGTCCTGTTACGGAGACCAGAAACCTGGGTCGGACTGTCTCAGGTCACATCTTCATGACAGGAAGTTCTTTGTCTCGATTGGTAACTATATGTCAGAGCAGATGGCCGTGACATGTGGGGTCCCACAGGGTTCCATTTTGGGACCCCTCTTGTTTAATCTCCATATGCTTCCATTGGGCCAAATCATACAGAATAATAATGTAGCTTGCCATAATTATGCAGATGACAAATACACATGTTGCTTTCACCAGGTTCACATGGCTGCTACTTTTCTCTGCAACGTTCTAAAACGGTTTTGTCTCGTCGTGAGTCTTTGGTCTGAGCTGGACTTAAGAGTCACACACCAAACCTTGGTGTCATCTTGGACCAAATTTCCACAGCCACACCAAATCCGTAAAATCATCTGCCTGCTACCGTTTAAACACACTGCTAGGGTCAGAGGAATAATGTCAAAGCGAGACCTTGAAAAGCTCAAACACGCCTTTATATCCAGTCAGATTACTGCAGTGCTCTGTTTGTAGGCCCTTCAAAATAAGATGATCTGCAGCTTCGTATTATTCAGAATGCTGCCGCGAGGGTCCTGACAAAAACTTGGAAATATGACCACGTTACTCCTGTTCTAAAATCCTTATGTCGGATGCAGACTACACAACATTTTTGTCTGTTCTGACAGTCTCTATGTCAGATCAGGTGATTGCAGAGTCATAAAATTGTGTCGTGACTTGGCCGACAGACACGACAGACTACAGGATGGTCCATGACCAATCATCCTTGGTCGTTTTTCACAACATGTGTGATGTCATCGGATTATTCTCGTCATATTATTGTTATTATTATTACTATTATTTTAGTCACTGTGTCTCTTCATGTTCCAGCTGAACTGTTACTATAGTAACGTAAATAGTGTCACCAGATGGGCGGAGCTACATTTGAAGTACCGCCATGACAGTCACTGAATCCTCTACAGGAAGTTCTTGCAAATGTTTCACAATAAAACCCTTATGAAAATGAAGGGATTAGATCAGCTGAAATGATGAGGGGCTTTTAATTTGAAACGGATACAGGAAGTGTTGAGTTTGAAATGACGGTGTGATGCATTAAATTTAACAGGATTAAAACTAAAAACAGAATAATAAATGAGGGCCTGTTTCTAATGTGGTGTGTTTGAGATGCAGCTGGTAGCCTCTGCAGCTGTGCTGAGTAAAGGCCCAGACACTATCCGTGAGTTTGATTCCTTTATATCCTCCATTATGAAGAAAGAACATTTTTTGCTAGCTTGATGCTAATGGCAGTTCTCAGCGGGTTGATAAAGTGCCTCTGCTGTTTCCTTTTTACTCTGTGTGCTAACGTCCCTACAGGAAATATCTAAAAGGCTGTGCTGTTGTTGTCTTTCAGTTTCCATGGCATCAGATCTCTCTGTGTTCCTATTGGTCAAAGTGACGGCTGTGACGGGAGAAGTCGTGGAAGACAAAAATAAAATCAAACATGCTAGACTTTCTGTTGGAACGTCGTGAGGCGTCTCAGACGTGGCGTCGGTTGTTGTCTACTGTGACACACTACAGGAGATAAGACAATAGAGGATATCGTACAACAGTCGTTCACGATCCGAGTGGACAGCGTACAACACTGCGTCGGGCTGTTATCGGGCTGATATCATAAAGTGTGAACCCAACATTACACTGACTAGCTGTCACTCAGAGAACTGATTTCAAAATCCTGCTGCTTGTGCATGAATCACTCTATGGCTCAGCGCTCAAATATGTTATATATCTCTGACATGCTTTTGACATTTGAACCCTCTGGAACCCTGTGTACATCTGAGGACATCTGTGGACATCAGAGGACATCTGAGGACATCTGCGTCCAGCCGACTGACCGTCCCAAGATTTCAAACAAAACATCGTAAAGCAGCACAGACCTGTAACAACCTCCCAGATGACGTCAGACAGCCTCGACTCAAAGCTAAAAACGTTCCTTCCTTACTTGGCCTCCTCCACCCTGTAATGACTGCTAACTTATTTATAAACTCCATTTTAAGTCATTATAAATAATCTTTTTATCTTTGCACCTTTTGTTCTGCACGTTTGCTATTTTTAATGGTGATTTTTTAAACTGTATATCATTTAGTCATTAATTTAACCTTTTATATCTTCACTCTTTTATTGTAAATCTGTTTCCTTATGTTTTATATCCTATCGCTCAGTAAAGCACAGCTGTATGAAATGTAATGTATAAATAAAGCTGCTTTTCCTATCAGATACATCACTTTATATGAAAATAAAAACAGATCATGTAAATGTAAGGTTTCTGTCAGACAGCAGTGACAGATTGATTTTTTTCAGCTGCTGTTTGAGTTTAATATTTTTGTGTAAATCAGTGTTTTCATGCAGTTTATGTCATTTCCTCAGAGTCCTGTTATAAAAACAAACTCTTATTTATTTCTGAGCTTCAGTGTGAAATCAGATCACAGTGAATGAGATCTGTGTGTTCAGGACGGAAAGACGCTCATGTGTCTGGTCACGTAGCCGCTGCCACCGCCACACACACACTTGTTTGTTTTCAGATTTCTATCATGGTGATTTAAAGGACAGAAAAATTCAGTTTAAACGGCTGCGTCACAGCGACGCTGATAATCATCTCAGTTTGCTGAAGCTGCACTGAGCTGCTGAGAGGAGACACATGTCTGAGGCCAGACGTGACGAGGGAAATATTCAGAGGGGAAACTGAATGTTGATGTGCTGCTTTAATAAACATCTGATCTAGAGGTTTGTCAAAATATATGGAGTCTGACCTCATCGCTCTCAAATTAACTTTAAAATCAGAGACATCTTTAAATCACTGTCCTTGATCTAAAACTTCCATTTGAGCTACAAGTTTACTCAGAAAATGTTTCTGTTGTATTTCTTTTAATCATTTCAATCTTGAACATATAAACACTCTGCTGATGGACCAGTTCCCAAACTGGTTTTCCCAAAATAAACAAGCAGCTGATCATTATCACCTCTGATGAGGAGGTTATCTGCAAAGCAGCTGCCTGAAACATCAGGATGGAGTGAATCTAATGAATGAGTGAACTCAGAGACTTTGAGTTTTTAATTCTGTCTGTTCATGTTCCCTCGTGTTGTCTCAAACCATCCATCATTATCTGCTTATCCAAAGCCAGGGCTCGGGGGCAGCAAAGTACTCCAGACGTTCTTCTCCCCAGCGACGCTCTCCAGCTCCTCCTGAGGGACCCGAGGCATTCCCAGACCAGATGAGATATATAATATCACAGCGTGTTCTGCTCCAGGGCCGCCCACCAGCCGAACGTGCCGGTACACCTCCCTAACCCTGACAGGAGGCCCCCCGAACCACCTCAACCATACACACACCATACAACTACAAATATGTCTGAACGTGTTTGAAACTCCGTATTTTACTGTCACCTCATCACAGGCTGATGTGAACGTTCACATATCACATAACGGTCTCAGTTCTCTGTCCGAATCTGTGACTCCACACTGCAGGAACCTCGCTGTCATTTCTAAACAAACCGTCAGTTTGGACAAATATGTAAATTCAATAATTCAATCCACCTTCCACCGTCTCAGACACATCTCCAGGATCAGATCATTCCTTTAACACACACACGGAAACTGATTCATGCATTCATAACCAGTTGAATAGATTATTGTAGTTCCTCTGGCACCAGTGAGAAATCCCTCTCCTTCCTCCAGCTCATCCACAACTCTGCTGCCAGAGTCTTGACTCGGACAAGAAAACATGACATATCATGGTGATCCTTCCCTACACTGGTGACCTGCTGCTTTTAGAAATGACTGTAAGATTTTATTGATGACTTGCGAAGCCCTGAGAGGCCTCGCTCCAAGTTTTATAACACATCTTTTATTGCCCTGTGTTCCCTCTCACAGCCTGAGATCCTCACATGAATCTGTTCTTGTTGTTTCGACGTCTGGATTAAAGCACAGGTTTGACAGCTCCTGCAGTCACAGCTCCTCGACTATGGAGTGACGTGTCTGAGGAGATCAGAGCTGCAGACTCAGCCTCATCTTTAAAATCTAAAAATTTAAAATCACCTTTTTTATTATCGTGTTTTACTCTGTTATCTTTTTTATCTGCTTTGTCTTTTATTCAGTTTTGTAAGGCGCTTTGTGACTGTGTTTAAAATGTGCTGTATAAATTAAGTTCATGAACATTATTCATACCTTGTCTGCAGCGTCTCCCATGGCCCTGACGGCTCTCTGCAGCTGCTCTCTGACCTTCATCATGCGGTGATAAAGCTGCAGGCTGAGGTTCAGCAGGAGGCTGCGCACCCTCGTCCACAGGCTGGGCTCGTCTGCGTCCTCATCTTCATCCTCGTACTCCTGCACCCTCATCTCCCACTCCCGACCTGACAGACAAACAGCAGGGACGTTTCACGCATCTGAAGCGTTTCTCAGATTCTTTGTGAAATAAAACGCAGAGAAGATTCTGGAGCTGAAGAGCAGCGCTTCAGTAACGTAACGTGTTACCAACAGGACTTCATGTGAAATCATCGCATCTACAGTGTCACCTAATGTGTAACCACCCAAAATAAACTCTTTATTGTTTTCATTTTTCATTCATCCACACTGATCTACACCGCCTCACTTTTTACACCATGTTACCAACTTTCCAGTTTCAATCTGTGACTTTTTTCCCCTCAAATTATGAGTTTAATCTCGTAATATTTCAATTTTATTCTCACAGATTTACGACTTCGTCCTTGAAATCTAAGATTTTTTTCTTTAACATGGCCCCAATCTGCCTTCATAAATGAGTGATGTGCATAAAGGGTTAAATGATCACGTCTGATGTCAGTCTGACACTTACACCCAGAAACTAACTGTGAATCAGGTTTACTGCTGCAGAGCAGACTGGAGGACAGACTGATGGAGGACAGACTGATGGAGGACATGCTGGAGGACATACTGGTGGAGGACAGACTGATGGAGGACAGACTGATGGAGGACAGACTGGAGGACAGACTGATGGAGGACAGACTGATGGAGGACATGCTGGTGGAAGACAGACTGATGGAGGACAGACTGGTGGAGGACAGACTGATGGAAGACGGACTGGTAGAAGACATACTGGTGGAGGACAGACTGATGGAGGACAGACTGATGGAGGACAGACTGGGGAACAGACTGATGGACAGACTGGAGGACAGACTGGTGGAGGACAGACTGATGGAAGACGGACTGGTAGAAGACATACTGGTGGAGGACAGACTGATGGAGGACAGACTGGGGAACAGACTGATGGACAGACTGGTGGACAGATTGGAGGACAGACTGATGGACAGACTGATGGACAGACTGGTGGACAGACTGGTGGAGGACAGACTGATGGACAGACTGATGGACAGACTGGTGGAGGACAGACTGATGGACAGACTGGTGGACGTCATGTAAGACCTCTCTGAGCTCAGTCAGACGGCTGAAACCAAATCCTCACCCACAGTTACCCAGAATGCCCCTGTACTCACGCAGCGTGGGGGGGAGGGGCAGGTAGTAGGCGGTGGCGTCCTCCAGACGACTCAGGACGTCGTCCAGTCCTGACGTGGCGGCTCGGCCCACCTGAGTGTCCTGCAGCTGCCGCATGGCCGTCAGAGCGGCATCAGACAGACGCTCCAGCTGATCCAGAGCTCCGTCCATCCCGTCCACCATCCACAGCTGCACGTCGTCCAGCGTCAGGAAGAGGGCGTCCTTCAGGTGTCCCATCACCTGAGGACCAGAGGACAACACCTGGTCAATAAGGACGCTCTGCACACCTGCTCACTCTGACCCCGAAGCAACATGTATATTCACTCTGATCATTATTGATTAGTCCTTCAATCAATCTTTTAGTTTATAGGTTATTATAACAGAGGGACAAATGTCTCGTCTGTGGACGACAAACAGACTCACAGATAGAAAAGAGGGGAATTATCGATGATTAAATTATTGGTTATTCAGTTATTTGTCATTAATTTCCTTTTGATCAATAACTGGCTCCAGGTCTGATCTGTGATATTAGAGATGATGATGATGATGATGATGATGATGATGATGATGATGATGATGAGAACAAACCTCGTCCGTTGATTGGTTCAGGATGGGGAAGTTTTTCTCCAGACGGTCGAGACCAACCAGAGCCATACTGTTGGCAACTTCAACTGCAGAGACAGAGACAGACACAGAGACAGACACAGAGAGACAGACAGAGACAGAAGTACTCACAGTATCAGTATCAGCAGCAGTGTTCACTTCCACAGACTTCAGGCTGCAGCAGTATTAACAGTATTTATCTACATGTACTCTGCAGGAGTCAGTCAGTAATACTCAGCAGTATCAGCAGTATTTGCAGTTTCACGTACTCTGTGGCTCCAGACTCTGCAGGAGGGGCGTGGCTTGTGTCATGGCGACTTGGGAGACACTGCGGATTCCAACCTCAGCAACTCCTCCCATCAGACGCAGAAGAGGGTAACGACCTTTGACCTCTGAGTACACAAAGGTCATCGACTGCAGCGCCGAGCGAACCAGAGGAAGGCTGGAGACCCTGAGCACGGCGCTCGTCTGAAACACAGTAACGTTACTGCGTCTGGTCTGAAACACGGTAATGTTACTGCAATACTACACTGCTCAAAAATATGAAGGGAACACTTAAGTGACACATACATTGATGAATGAATGATTGAAGTGTAAAATATTTACTGATGTACATTGTATAATTTGTTGAGAACCAAATAACTGAGAACCAAAATTATCAATCATCTCAGACCTGGATCAGGGCATCAGTGAGCTCCTGGACAGTCTGTGGTGGTACTTGGCGGCGTCACATGCACCGATACATAACGTCCCATAGGTGCTCAGTTAGATTTACTGTAGGTCAGAGGCACTAGAGGACCAGTCAATGGCATCAATGCCTTCATCATCCAGGAACTGCCTACACACTCTGGACACATGAGGCCGGGCATTGTCCTGCACCAGGAGGAACCCAGGGCCCTCTGCACCAGGAGGAACCCAGGGCCCACTGCACCAGGAGGAACCCAGGGCCCTCTGCACCAGGAGGAACCCAGAGCCCACTGGACACTAGCAGAAGACCAAACTAGAGAAGAATCAGTCAGGAAGGATAAGGAGAGAGCAACTGTCTGTGGACACCACATGTAAAACCATTCCCTTGTTGGGGCTTGTCTTGCTTTTGCCTCTCCATTGCACCTGTTGTCACTTTGATTTGCACCAAAGCAGCTGAAACTGATTCACAATCACTTGATTGATCCCTGAAGTTTAACTGACTTCCTGTTACACTGTGACCATTAAGTGTTCCCTTCAGTTTTTGAGCTGTGTATGAGAAGACGACAAAGGAGGAGAAGAAGAAAAAGAAGCAGAAGAAGGAGAAGAAAAGGAGTAGAAGAAGAAGTTACCTCCTGATGTTGACGCTGAGACATTTCTCCTTCACTGAGTCTGAGAGCAACAAACAGAGGAGAGATGAGCACGAGGCAGTCAGCTGCTGAACCTCCACAAAGATCTCGAGTGTTCATCAAACCAGCTTGAAAAATCATTGTCTTCCATTTTACCATCGATACAGGACTCTGATTATGTTCCCCAAACATCACCGTGACAACCAACTGTTGTCGTCGATTCAACGTTCTCTCTCAGATAAACACAGAGCTCACATAAACATCACAAACATCTGCACTGTATCATATCAACCTCTGTTTGTTTACACTGTGAGAGTTACGATCCAATCAGTGATCAGTTCCCAACCTGGAGGTCACGAGACGATTAACAGGATATTTTTCTACTTTTACTTTGACCTGATAAGTTTAATATCCAGCCACAAACATGTGAGCAAGGTGACTGAGCTTCATTTTAAGGTTCAGATTAACAAACTGTCTGATTTCTGAACTCTTAAAAACAAAAGTCGCCTGGTGAGACAGAAACATGTCGGTTCCTCCGGTTCTCTTTCTCAGGGACCCCGTATCTATCACTGAGTAAACTGACGACCTTGACTATGTAACAAACTGTAGATATTTCATATTAAATTCAATGCAGAGCAATAAATGTACAGAAGAACTGATAAACTGCACAGACAGACTCCAGGTGGCGCTCAAGCACCTGTTGTTTTGCCCTCTGACTACATAAGTGCCCTTTTTTCTGTTTATATCAATAATTTCATATTTTAATCTTTAAAGTTGGTCCATAGCATCAATTCCCAATTAATAGAGTGTGTTTTTCCCGACAACTGAGTCGAGCTGCTGCCTCTTTAACGTTCCTTCAGACAACCACACACAAATCGAGCGTCCTGCAGAGCAGCATCACGTCTCCCTCACCTGACAGGTAATGACAGTGTTTGTCTCAGAATTATTTGTCACTGTTGTGAAAATAATCCACCATTAAAACATCTCAGTACAGACAGACAGACTCATTTAGGGAAAGGTGGGGAAAATGTGGGTATATTGATATCAGTTATTGGTCAGATAAGTTGTTATATATCAGCTTATCTGCAAAAATCCACGATGGTGCATCCCTACTTGTGAAGCTTTAGCACCCCTAGTGGGGGTCGGGACCCTCGGGTTGGGAACCAGTGTTGAAGAGGTTCTCAACCTGTTCTTTCCACAGTTAGGTCGCTGAACTAAACTGAAGAACCTGTAGAAAACGTTTAAAGCTCCTGTCTGTTTCTTTAGAGACTGTTACCTGGCTCTTCAGCTGAGTTTAGAACAGAGTATTTCCAGAGGACATCCCATCAAAGCAGCTGCTCTCTGCCTCCACGTGACACATCCCAGATTTGAAAAGGTAACAAAATGTGTTTCTCAGCAAACATTTAGTCCGTCCTGAGTTTTTTAGGCTAAGGTTACATAAGAAATGATGAATACACATTTATATTTGAAGTAAAAGTGTCATTTAGAATCATACTGACTCATCCTGGTGTTTTCTTGGATCATTCAGAAGCCCAGTGTTTAAAACAATGGAAAAACAATATATTGATGAATTCACACGGTTCCACTGTCCTGGAAAATCCTGGGAAAGTCCTGTGTTTTGTGACCCATCCACCAGCAAACCTCCGAACTGGACCACTTGTGACCACTTCCTTCCTGTACCATCAGCACATTGGTCACATGATCACAGCCTTCCAAAATATGTGGTTATACACGAATTACTGGCTCATAATGACGTGGGATCGAAACACATTGTGGAGCGTTTGGTTCTGCTCAGCAGCGCCTTTGTTCAAAGTGTTAAATATGTCAATTACAGAATATTTATAAAAAGTATAAATTATAATCAGATGCACCAGGAAGTGACTGTTTCTAAGAGGCCTTAGAAATAACAAGACGAGAAAGTTGCAGGGATGCAGGATATTGGATTTTTTTGCTGATATTCAATATGCTGATATATAACAACTTATCTGATCAATAACTGATATCAATATATCCACTTTTCCTCCACCTAACCTTAGTGATCATCGAGTCTCTTCCGTAGTGAATGAACATCATATTATACATACATGCTCTCATCATGACGGCCCACCAGCAGATGGAGACATGAAACACTGTTCAGTGTCTGTGATATTCAGTCATTGTGCAAAATAAGAAAAAGCATGTTGGCTGATTCTGATCGTTCATTTCAAAACCAATAAAAGATTAAATCTAACCTTGTGTAGCATAAATGTTTTACCTGCATTCACATTGTGTAAATCGTCTCGTGACCTCTGTGGGCTCGCAGCCCTCATGTTGGCCCCCTTGCTGTTTGTCAGTTTGATTTTACTGTAACTCAGATTTCAAATTCAAATGATTCAAATCTACACTGTAAAAAACATTTGAAGACAAACAGACTCCAGATGAAAATGAATTCTGAGTCCGACGGTTCAGTTTGGTCTCATGCTGCTTTTTAAACGATCAAACAGGAAATATTTAAAATATCAGGGTCGAAATCTGAGAGAAGAGCTATCAGGAATTACACTAAAATCAGAGAGATGTTTAAAACCAGAAACTTTTTATTTTATTACTGAGATGCTAAAAAACAGATTTTGTCACATTTTAAGGAACAAAATCATCAAACATCAACATGATATTGATCTGTGTGAGTTTATCAGCTAATTTGTTCAATTGCACAACTAATAAACTGTAACAGCGACAGAAACTTCCAGAGTGAGATGAGTGAAGCCACACCCTGACAGGACAACACCTCGCAGTCTCACCGCTGATGACAAGCACAAACAAAAACTAAAAAACACGTCAAAATCTGAAAAAATCAGCTCATAAAACACTAAGATCTTAGAATACGTGACGGCAGAAAGTATTATCAATCAATCAATCAATTTTATGTATAAAGCCCAATATCACAAATCACAATTTGCCTCAGAGGGCTTTACAGCATACATTAGTTATTTTACAGATAGTTATGAATGTTTTTGAACAAATCTTCTCAGTTTTATGAAACAATATTTTGACATTTCAAACTGTCTTTTGTCCTTTGAGGCTGATTTTAGATTATTTTCAGATTTTTTTTTCTCCTGTAAAAAACATTTATTTTCTTGTTATAGTTATAAATTATGACCAGTCAGAACGATTCCTGAAGAAACTGATTGATTATCGGGTCTACAAATAATACGGAAAAACACAATTTTCCAGACACCTCCGTCATTCCAAAACTCAGAGTTTATAATGAAATCAAATGTGAGAAATGTTCTGAATGAAATTTTCTGTTCAAATAAACTGAACTTGAGAAATTAATGAAACATCAAAGTTTCTCTGATCAACTGATGAAGCCAGAGATTGTTCAGAAAATCAGGTCTTACCCCATCAGACAGCCTGAGTGATGATGATGATGATGATGATGATGACAAAGAGTCTCTGCCTGTGTGACCTGCTCGTACAGAGTCCAGACACTTTTTGTGGTTGAAATCAGCGATCTGATTGGACGGAGCGCGCTGTGACATCACCACTGAGAAAGTGAATCAGACGTCTGCTGTTTGATTCTGTGAGCGACCAATCAATTAACAGACACTCAATGAATTCATTCACACACACACACACACACACACACACACACACACACACACACAGCTGTGTCCAGTGTCATTTTTTAATATTCAAAGCTTCTATTGAGGCTTTCGAGTTATTCTTTGAATATAATATACAAAGAATATACAGGAAAGGCCAAAGCAGACTCTACCTGCTGAGGCTGCTCAGGGCTTTTGGAGTGCAGGGTGTGCTCCTGAAGACCTCCTTTGACACTGTGGTGGCATCAGCCATCTTTTACGGAGTGGTCTGCTGGGGCAGCAGCGTCTCTGCTGCAGATAGGAAGAGACTGGACAAGCTGATCAAGAATGCCAGCTCTGTCCTGGGATGCTCTCTGGACTCTGTGCAGGTGGTGGGAGATAGGAGGAGGACAGCCAAGCTATCATCTCTGAGGACTAATGACTCCCATCCTCTGTTGTCCCCCATGTTGTTATTTGCACATTCAATATTCACTTGCACTAAATATATTCACTTTAATCCATTGCTCACTTTTTTTATCCACTGCTCATTATTATTATTGTTATTATTTATTGCTGTTTCTTGTATCTTTTGTACTCTTTTTGCATGCCTAGTTTTTTAAGTTTTTAAATATTGAAATCTTTAATCTGACTCTTTCCTCTGACTGCTGTAACACTGGAATTTCTCAATTGTGGGATCAATAAAGGTGTATCTTATCTTATCTTATCTTATCTTATCTTATCTTATCTTATCTTATAATCACACGATCTTAAAAGCGTGACAACCATCAGGAAACAAACAGAGCAAAATAACTGTTTTATATGGATGCACGATAATATCGGCACATCATCAGTATCAGCTGATATTGACTTTAAAATGAAATATCAGAATCAGCCAACATGCCTTTTCTGCCGATATGAAAAAAGAGAGACGACTGGTTGTTCTGTAAAATCAAACGTGGATCAAAACTTTGTGTCGGGGGCTCATGGAGAACAGGAAACAACAAGATACACAGGAAGGTGATCCAGACCCTCCGTAAATGCAGAAAACATGGAAGGAAGTATTAAAAGCCTTTACTGTAGAGGTTAAATCAGGGGTCAGAAACCTTTACTATCACAAGAGCCATTTTTGACCCAAAAGTTAAAAAAAAAAATCTGTCTGGAGCCACAAAACATATTTGAGCCTTAAAATAAAAGTAACACAGCCTGTTGAGTCCAAATGAGAATTCATTGATATGTTTGACCACAAGGTGGCGACTCTGCAGGGTGCCGGTGATGATTATTTAGAACTTTAATTTCCCAGTGTTGGCAGTGAAAGTAAACACATCTGTCCAGGAACTACTGAATTCTTTATTAGACTCCCATTGCCATCCTCTGTCAAGATGAGCCACCACTGTTAAGGTTTGGTAACATTTAAGCCCCGTTTCCACCGAGCAGTTCAGTTCAGTTCAGTTCAGTTCATTGTTTCTGTTGTAACCTCTGTTCATACATCAGTAAACTACAACTATAAAATGAAAGAGAAAAAAATAACTTCATTCACTGGGCCGACTGCCGGCAACTTTTAAGGTGGAACGTTAACTTGTAATGTTACTCAATGCATGAGTTGATGACGTGAATCCATCAGCACACCTTAAATTTCACTGTGACAACTTTGATCATCACTTTAGTTTTTATATGACACACACTTTTAGTAATGACTTTAAAAATATAGATTAATTTGGAGCGGATTATGTGAAGGTCATATATTCTAATCCTCACTTCCTGTGGGCTACAGCAACACTAAACCCCTGAGCTTGCCTGAGAAGGACTAAATGCACAAAGCTGCTATTTTTAAATATCCCATGGAGAGAGACTCTCACTGCAGCCTGTTCTATTTTGTTGTGAAAATGTGGGCGTGCAGCCTCGTTCTGTGGACGATAAACCAGGTGCAGACTTCCATCTGTGTCACCGCTGATGAGGAAATACAGCGAGTGCTGGACGGAGCAGTGAGTGACAACAACCCCGCCCACATTTAAGAGGACTGTCTGAACACACCGAGGGTCTAGGTACCATGTCTGAAGGCTTACTGCTGGTTCCACAGGTTCTGGACTGAAAGGGTTTGGTGGAGACGGGGCGTAAATTGGCATCACTCCAGGCTTGCTGTTGGAGGGTTTCATAAGCCACTCGCGCTCCCCACTCGTTGATTTGGGGCATCACTCAGTCGGCTCTTTTTACACAGAGATGACGCTATAGAGCTGCTACTAAGTCCATTCTTCATGCAGAGCCGATAGTATTGATAAAGTACTGAATCAATAATAGAAGTAGTATCAATAATTCTTCACGATATCAGTCCCTCACAGTGACTAAATGTAACTTCTAAAAACTAAAAAATACAAAGTTTCAAGACAGTTTTAAATGGTTTAAACCTCCAGTGAGCAAAGCATACCTCGCAACCTGAATTTCCTGGTGTGTTGGAGCTTTAATTTTCTTTTTGATTCAAACTATATAAAAACATCTGTATTGGCCCTGAGTTTCAGCATCGGCGCCTCCCTACTGATAACTGATCCAAACACAACAAACTGACGGTGTAAATATCACCAGAGGTTAGTCTGACCCTGGAGTCATCCTCTCAGTAATCTGTGGTGTCTGATGGTCATCATGTAATCTGTTAATCACTGTAGATTCCTGGAATTACATTACAACAGATCCTAATAAAGATATTTCCATCAGAGCACAGACGGCCGCTCTCACAGCTCAGATCATGTGATGATGATCAACGTTTTCACTGATGATTCTGTTTCAATCGCTTCATTAATCGCTTTATGTGTAAAGTCAGAGAGGAGAGCGTGATGCTCACAGACAGCTGACTCGTCTTAAAACTAACTTTATGGGACATTTTGTGATTCAGTTTCCGTGTGATGTTGATATTTCAACAAACAACATGTCACTTGTTGAGTTTTGTCTCACTCATTAAAAGATAATCAGTTTAACCTGATCTTTTCTTGTGACATCACCAGCGTGGAGTTTTTCCTCTTAAAGCCCGAGGACGGAGCCGAGCGGAACACCACAGAGTCCTGATCATGAAGGGATCAGTGTCTGAGAGTTAGTGGGAAACCTTCATGTGACTGAGACACTCACAGATTCTGGTTTAACACTTTTTACACGCTGGATTTAGTTTTTATAAAACACAGATGAAGAGTTGAGCCTCTGAGGCCTCGCTGAGATGTCATTTTTATTATTCAACTATAAAGTCCTTCATGTTTAAACCAACAGTGTGTACATATATATATATACATACACTGACATGTATCGACTCGGGTCTGACTTCAGACTTAACGTCACTGACTTTGTTGATCCTGACTTGTGACTTAACCTTCAGAGTAAAAGCTGGTGCAGATAACTGCAGATGCTTTTTATTCTCTGATTGAAGAAATGTGTCTGACTCTAAAACCCTCGAGTGCTCACAGTGTGATGCTTCAACCATCAGGACTTTTCTGTCCCTGTCAGAAATTAGAAAAACAAAAACACATTTTTTTGTCACACTTACTTAACACAAAAAGAACTACTGACTCAGGGCTGATGAGATGGACATGAATTCATATCTGGGTATTTTCAGGCTGAGCGGCAATACACGATATTTATCTCAGTATTCTCTATGAAATGAGCTCCGTGTTCAGCTGCAGGTCAGAGCCACATTTGAGATGTCACACACACTTTTATAAAAACAGACTGTGATCAAAATAAAATGCAAAGACGAGGATTTTATTCCCTGTTTGAAAATAAACAGCTGCACAACATGGAAATTAAAAATAATGTACGGTAACTTTGTGCACGCAGCACTGGAGCTACAGAGGTTTAAAGGTTTGCAGCTCAGGATGCTGAACTATAACAGGACTGTTAAAGTGTCAGGTAGGTTTGAAACGGTTAAAAATCTTTGTGGGCACACAGTTACACACGAAGTTTCCATCTGTCGGCCTTTCAAATGAATTTAGTGCTGATTTAAACATTTGAATCTTAATTCTGCACAGAGCATCAGCAGAGAGGCCGAGGGACGGACGGAGACAGAGACACTTTGTCCTCCTTATATACGTCTGTATATGAAACATCTGTGTTGTCGCTGCATGTTTTTAAGTCACACATTAGACTAGAACTACCACTATGCACTATGATCCGCGGTCATTTCATTCATCTCACAGACTGACTTAGCGCAGCACGTGCAGCGCACAGACCGACGTCACACTGTAGACTAATGAACAGACAGATTAAACAGAGGAGCAGCTCTGTGTCTGAGTGTTGATGGAGAAACTGTGAGTGAGTGAGCGAGTGAGTGAGTGAGTGAGTGAGTGAGGGGGCGGAGCTGTGAGAGAGGAGAGATGAACACTGGTATGGTTATGTAATGCAACTTGACCTCATATCGATATAATCAGTGTTGTCTAAATTCATATCGTACTTGAAAATATAGCGATATATCGTACATAGTGGTTATATCGCCCAGCCCTAGTCCTGACTTGTGACTTGACCTTCAAAGTAAAAGCTGGTGCAGATTATTGCAGGGTTTCAGAAATGTGTCTGACTCTAAAATGTTCGAGCACTAACAGCGTGTCAGAAATCAGAAAACAAAAACACATTTTTCGTCACACCTCTTTGACAAAGAAAGAACCACTGACTGTATAAAATAACGGACGTAGCCACCGTGATGTCACCCACTGGTTTGTGGACTCGAGTTTGGCATTATGGCCGACGCCATCTTGGTTTTCTGGAACCAGAGGTGACCGTGGGTGCGTTCTGAATCACATCCTTTTTGTTTTTACTTCAAGTAAGTACTGCAGCTGTCTGTAAAACATACGTGCTGTTGCATTCAGTCTGCACACAATTATGGGGTGCCGTTTGTAAAGTGTCTCACGCTGAAAATAACATCAACATTTTGTCACATTTAGTGTCAAACAATGTTTAAAAAAGTATTGTGAATTTTTTAACGTCACCTTTTACCACATTTACAGAAAAATATTTTTTTCCAGCGGATATCTTAGTTACAACATGATTGAGCTAGCAAAGCAGTTTTGTGTTGCTATGTGTGGTATTTATTACACGTCAAATAAAATTTCTCCAAACATGTTTCTTGTTATTTTAGGTAGTTATTATCACTCTAATGTATGTTCAAGTGTTCTTTTCCCCCGATAATTTGGTTTTAATTCGTTATTTGATTCTATAAACACAGTCTGACCATCTCGAGCTTTTATTTTGGTACTTCCAGTGACCGGCAGTGTGAATTTGCATATTAGTTAAATATTTAGTTTCACCCAGAACATTTAGATTTAACATTTAACATTTAGATTTAGATTTAGCATTTAGATTTAACATTTAGATTTATATTTAATATTTAGATTTAATATTTAGATTTAATATTTAGATTTAACATTTAGATTTAGATTTAATATTTAGATTTAACATTTAGGTGCCACATTTAATATTTAGATTTAACTATTTAATATATTTCTAAGTTAACAAATATTGCTGTAAATGTGGTAAAAGGTGACGTTAAAAAATTCACAATACTTTTTTAAACATTGTTTGAAGCTAAATGTGGCAAAATGTTGATGTTATTTTCAGCGTGAGCCACTTTACAAACGGCACCCATACACAATCAGACATGCTGGTGTCTCATAACGTTACGCCATGAACTCTGACCTTCTTGCTTTTGTATCCGTTACCTTGGAGATAAAAAAACGCCCCTAGTTTCCCAGCGATGGAGATCAACCCAGAGTTGTCTGCTGCTGTTGTTTTTTTTTTAAGATTATTTTTTGGGCTTTTGCCTTTAATCAGCAGGACAGTGTTAAGTGTGAAGGGGCAGAAAGAGGGGATGACATGCAGGCTGGAATCAAACCCACGACAGCTGCAGTAAGACACTGCCTACATGAGACACCTGCTCTGCCCACTGAGCTCTGCTTAGGTGAACAAAAAAGATGGCGGCAGGACACAGTCTCAGCAGCTGTTGGCTCTCTGTTCTGACTCCAACACCATCATTAAGTTTGCTGATGACATCACTGCGGTCGGTCTCACACACGGTGGAGATGAGTCGTCGTACAGAGAAGAGATCCAGCAGCTGTCTGTGGTGCTGTGAAAACAAACATGTCTCTCAACACTGAGCAGAACCTGCCCCCTCCTCATCAGCAGGGACAGGGTAGAGACGGTCTCCACCTTCAAGTTCTTTGTAGTGCAAATCTCTGGGGACCTCTGCTGGTCAGTAAACACCTCTGCAGCAGTGAAGAAGGCAGTGAGTGCACCTCCTGAGGCTGCTTCAGAAGAACAGACTGAAGGAGAAAGAATCATCGGCTGCCCTCTGCCTCCTCTGGAGGATATCTGCAGCTCCCTGTGCCTCTGAAGAGCCATGAAAATTAAGACTGTTCCCACCTGGGTCACAAGCTGGTCTCTCTCCTGCCCTCTGCTCAGAGATACAGGAGCTTAACGTCACACACAAATACTCAAAAACAGTTTTTACCTGAGAGCCATCAGGTTGATAAATCAAACATATGGAATAATCAGTGCAATCCAATATTTATTTGACCTGTGCAACACCTGATGCTCTATTTATTTCTGATTCAGAGCGCCTCGGCCATAAAGGGACGGACACGGTCAGCAACAATACCCAGGTAGGCTGTGATTGGCTGATCAGATATTTGCGTTAACGAGCAACATCAGGCCTCCTTGCTTCTCCCATCTCACCCTTATATATTTTGTTGAAGAAACTTTTAGACTGTGGAGAGATTTACAGAGTCGAGAGACGTCCCCTCTTTTAGTATTTGATTTATATGCATTTATAAATATTTGAATGAAGGGTTCACTGGTATTCTTCTTTTTGAGGAAACTGTTAGTGTGTAATATCTTCTGGTGACAGGAAGTTGTACACTTATTTTTGTGATCTGTGGTTGGTGACACAGTTGTTGTTGCATTGCATCATGGCGAGGGAGGGGAAATGATTAATTTACACCTACAGTTGTGGAGATAATTTGTAGGGCAGATCAGTCCTCTCTCTCTCACATTTGGCTCGAGACGGTCAGAAGAATGGAGATCGAACATTATATCAACTCACCAGCTGATGGAAGTGGACAGAGACAGCAGCAGAGAGGAAATCATCTCTCAGGTCAGAATATCTGATTAGATATTTTATTTACCTCCGACCTCCTCCGTTCTTTTTACAGCCCTGTTCTTTGGTGTGACCTCTGACCTTATACAGTTTTACTTTAGACAGGCTGCTTGAGATTTTTGCCAAAGTTCAGCATTTCATCTTTATTTGAATTGATTTAATTTTTTTGGTTTGCGAGCTTCCTTTGAGACGTTCGGCTTATTCACAAACGCATCCAAAACATATGTGAGGTGTATATATGTATAGGTATCCCAATATTATGGAAAGTTATGCAACTTTCTTCCCCACATCCTTTGACTGAATATACCTGTTTGCTTTTACCTTGTTTATCTATTTGTATTTTCATTAGTGTCGGCGTACTGCTGTAACACCCTGTTGAACACCATGTATGTGTGTTTGCATTGTGTCGGACTGTTAGGTCATTGTTGGATTTATCTGCATTTATAAGGAACGTTTCTCTTAAAATTTGAAAAGCTCTAAATATTTTGTTTTCTCGGGGTGATTTACTTTGTGGTGGTTTATGAAATGTGTAAAACAGATTTAAAAACTTGTTTTTACATCTGATACATCTACATCTGATTTTACAGAACAACCAGAGCTCCTGCTCTCCATGAGCACCCAACACAAAGCTTTGATCTACGTCTGATTTTACAGAGCAACCAATCAGCTCACTTTTCCTAAAAAAAAATATTTATATTGGTTTGTCATATTGACAGAAATTGGCATGTTGGTCGATTCTGATATTTCATTTTAAAGACAATATCAGCTGATAACAATGACATGCTGATATGATCAAGTACCACGATGCGTGGAGATTCCCTTGCTTAAAAATCAGGTCACATGTCAGTGTGGGCGTTACTACTCATTGTCAGTGGTGGAATTGAATCAGTACATCGACTGTAACGGATACACGTACTCGTCCTTTACTTGAGTATGTTTATGCAGCTTCTTCCTTCTCCTCCATCTCAGAGGTAAATACTGTATATTTTACTGCTCTACATCATCTGACTGTTAGTTACTTCACAGATGACAGTCTTTATGGCCCTTCCTGTCCAGTGAAAAGCATGTATCTCCAGATGTGTTCATGTTGAGTGTTTGTGATCAACTGAATGATGAGTTGTTCCTTCATGTGTTGAGAAAGTTCTCCTCCTTCTTAATCTAAATGAACTCTTTTTGGATTTGGATTAACTTTAATAATCCCCAAGGGGAAACTGGATTGCCACCATGGCCAACATACAGTACAACAATAAGACATAGACAAAATATACACATACAATAACATCACCTAGGTGTGCAGTGGTCCAATACAACAATAGCAAAATGACCAGAAAAATAAATAAATAAAAAATAAAGATTAAAAAGAATAAAAAGAGTACAAATGCAATTTAAAGTGCAGTGTACAAGAACGAGTATAGCAGTAATACATGACATCAGCAATCCAAATTAAAAAGCCTGGTTGCTGCAGGAACAAAGGACTTCCTCAATCTTTCTGTGGAGCATCTGGGCAAAAGAAGCCGCTTACTTCTGCCACTTCTAACAAAAGTGCTATGCGGGGCTGATCATCCTGAGACAAGATAGCTCTGAGCTTCCTCCAAGTCCTCTGCTCTGTTATGACCTCCAGAGGAGCAGGGCTCATACCAATAACAGATCCTGTTCCTGTCCTCCAATGTTAGGCTGCAACCCCAACAAACAACCACATAAAAAAGGACACTTGCTAAAATACCATTATAAAAAACCCTCCTGGATCAGCTGAACAGTCGTCGTCACAAACAAGCTGTTTTTCTGACTGTTTAGAGATACATGGTTCTCACAGGAAAGCCACGCCACAAACATATGATGATCTCATGGACCATGATGCATCGCTGCAGATTAAACTACCAATCAGTTTATAAAGGAGTTAAAATACACCACATCTGTACCGACACATTCTCATCCCAACTCGTCACATATGACCAAAATATTACAAATATTACGCTCTAGTTATCCTTGTTGATGCTCCGGGACGGCCTGGGTGTCCAGGGTTTGTTGGACCCTTCAAGTACATTTAGCTGGAATATTTTCACAGTGTGGTAACAGTACTTTTATATTTATAGTAACAGTGGCTCCTTTCAAATGTTCACTGTAAAAATTTAAAGATGAGATGCAGCAAAATAAAAGTACGGAACCCATAAAGTCCAGAAAGGTGACATTTTTTATCTTTCTGTGCAAACAAGTCATTTCCTTTGTCAGAGCCATTTCTAGCAGGTCCTAGTTTCTTTTGAGTCTCTTTAATGCGTCACCTGACCACCTGGCATCTCAGGAACCTTTAACTGAAGGCAGGTGTGCTGAAGTGAGTGAGGAGCGTGAAGACACCACAGGGTTACAGTCTTTACCCGCCGTGTGTTTGGTTGATCTTGGTTTTTATTGTTTGATGAAGTCCTTTAAAACCCTGTTCATTTAACTTTGATTTGTGAGGGCGTGTTTATTTGGAGATTTTTGTTTTTTCATTTTGTAAATGCAACAGTCAAGACAATTAGTTGATAGCGTCATCCTGCAAATCAGTTGACTCTTAAACCAACCACAGCATCCTGATCATCAAACAGTGAGTACAGTTAAACCACAGACAGTGAGTTCATCATATTTCCTGTTATGGCGTCTGTGGGCAGATACTGTTGAACTTATTTGGAAGCTGCAACGACCTCATCACCCACTCAGCTCATGAAAAGTTTTGCTTTTGGGACTTTACATGCTCTGTATAAAAATAATCACACGTAAGGTTTGTTAGTTTATTCCTAATAACTGTGACGTCAGTGATAGTTTTGGTCATTTTCATAGAAATCTGTATTTATAGCCACTTCCTCTTTGTTCTTCTGCTGAACATCATTATTGGTTATTATTCTCAGACATAAAACACAGAGTTGTGGAGGACGTGCTAAAATATGATGTGATTGTTAGTATTTGTGTTTGAGGTAGAAAACTGAAGGTGCTTCATAAAGCTAAAGTTTATTAAAAGGAATTAACTGAATCTAATGATGCGGGACAAAAGCCACTTCCTCAAAGTAATAATGAAATTATGGTGTGTGTGTGTGTGTGTGTGTGTGTGTGTGTTAATCTTCCTGCAGGAGGGTCAAAAGTCTTGTGGTTGGTGGGAGTCAGCTTTGGCCTGCTGTGCATCATCCAGACCGCTCTCAATGTTTCGCTCCGACTACAAGCAGGTGAGTATTGATGGGCCCCCGCCTTCACCATCACACCTTAGAAACACCAGCCGAGGAGCAGGACAGATATACGACAGGGAAGTCGTCTGTCCAGCTGATTAAACCCATTTGAAAAGCAGGAGAGTGTTAATATATTTCACCAAGAAGTTACTACAAACATCATTTTAAATAAATTCTCCCAGAAATGTGTCAGCTGTAACTTTTAACCCCGTGAGTGAGTGTCAGACTCACCTCAGTTCAGGGGCCACAGACAGCTCAGTCTGACTTCAAGTGGGCCGGACCAGTGAAACCATTTCAGAATATTTCATATATATCATTTAATAACTCCAGATGTTTCCCAGCCGGAGATGTTTTTCACATTCATCTCCACTCCTGTGTAGTAATGCTGGCGTCACCACACCAGACGGGGGCAGGTTCAGTTGTCCTCTGCCTTACAAACCATTTACAAATCAGCTGTTCTGGTCATGCCTTAGCAACAACAACATGTTCAGACAGGCATCTGATACAGCTGCTGACTGGCAATGGTTTGCACAATTTAAAGATGAACAACACAAGAAGTATTCAGTTTCAGAAATCTGTTCCTCGTCAGGATGGAGAAGCCTCTGTAGCTGTGTTTTACATGAAGCAGGATACGCACTGTTTAACTTGCCCTGAAACCTGACTTCTCTTATGCCGGGTTCAGACTACATGATATCAGCCTGATTATAGCCCAACACAGCGTCGCACAGTGTCAGCTCAGATCGTGAACGACAATGAGTGTTGTACGTGATAATCCATCGTTTAATCTTGTGTAGTGTTTCTAAGACCGACCTCATTCACCCACATTCTTCTCGCTAAGACTAGAAGTAAATCTTACGCCTTTTCAGGCGCAGGCGTAAAGTCAAAGTCTCGACCATTTCTATAAATCAGCAGCCTGATGAACAAGAAACATAAACTTTGAACAACAACCCACATTAGCTTTTTTCTAAAGTCTCCTTTTTATCTGGGTAACTTACAAAAATAAACACACGTCTTGTCCTTCACCTCGGCCTGTTGAGCGAGCGACCAAAGAGACATTTACGGGTGAAAGTGCACTGGTAATGTTGGTTACCAGAGCTGGTCAGCTGCAGCAGCATCTAAACTCACCTGTGGATGTGACTTTGGTCCGTTCAGACGCTGCTGTGGTCTTTACTCTGTCACGTTCCTTGTGGAGCTCCACCTGCCAGGTGCTGTCGGTCAAACACAGACACACCTCTCCTGTACAGCTGCGTTAATCTTCATATCTGATGTCTGGGAAATTTCCTTTTTTCTCTGATCCTCCATCACGACTTTGCTGCAAATGATAAATGAGAATGTATGTATCCTAGTGACACATGCGCTGCTAGGCAACAGCCCGAGTCGCTGGACGTTAACATGAACGTGCATCACTAAGACTGGATGTAGTTCAGAAGACTAGGCCTAAGTTTGGTTGGTGCAACTGCCCTAAAGCCCATTCTGAGGACTTGTGTTAGCAAAGACTGACTTAGCAGTAAGGACCAGGCTTAGTAAAGACCAGCTGGTGCAACCTGCTCCAAATAGTTTTTATTTATTTATTTATATATATTTAACAGTTTGTCAACTAAAATGTGTGTCATGTGTCAGTAGCAGTGGTCAGTCTTGAGTCTCGCTAGCAATGCTAACTATGTATTCAACATCCAAAAAAGGATGTGTCGGAGGAAAACAGAAAATGAAATAAGGTGTGGACAGATGTGTTTGCTTTCACCTCCAACACTGTTAATTTAAAGGTCCAGTGTGAGTAATCACAGGAGTTTAGTGGCGTCTAGTGGCGACGATTGCAGACCGCAACCAGCTAAAACTTCTCCCTGTAAGAATTTCCTTCAGTGTTCATTGTTCAGGAGCTGAATCATCACCGAGGTCTCTTCCTCTCAGAAACAAACAGACTGTGTCATAATAACACTGAATGATGCAGTTCCATGATACAAATCAATGTTTCTCCGACGCTCTTGTTGGGGAGGGGCAGCTAACTACGGTGGCTGATGCAAAAATGTGAATGTTCCTATATAGAGCCGGTGTTTAGTTTGTCCTTTGTGGGCTACTGTAGAAACATGCAGATATAAACAGCTCATCTAAGGTACAAAAACACGACTGCTATTTTCAGGTGATTGTACACAAAAGAAAACTTGTTATATTATTGTATATATGTCAATATGTTCCTGTAAATCCTACCTGGACCTTTAAAAAACCAAATAGTCATGAGCAGCGTCCTGCAGAGTCGCCACCTTGTGGTAAAACATCAGTAAATGCTCATTTAGTTCTATTTGTAATGTTGATAGGCTGAATTAAACTTATTAGGCTATGTTACAAAAATATAAGGCTCAAATATGTTTTGCGGCTCCTGACAGATTATTTATTTATTTTATTTATTTATTTATAAACTTCACGTGTGTTTGCCTTTCTAGGTGTGTGTTCTGAAAAGTCCGACAACATCTCAACTGGCAACATCACCATGATGTCAGCCGGTGACAGCGACGTCCAAGACCAACTGGCCCGAGAGAGAGACCAACTGGTTCGAGAGAAAAAACAGCTGGTTGAAGAGAGAGACCAACTGGTTCAAGAGAGAGACCAAGTGGTACAAGAGAAAAAACAGCTGGTTGAAGAGAGAGACCAACTGGTTCAAGAGAGAGACCAAGTGGTACAAGAGAAAAAACAGCTGGTTGAAGAGAAAGACCAACTGGTTCGAGAGAAAAAACAGCTGGTTGAAGAGAGAGACCAACTGGTTCGAGAGAAAGACCAACTGGTCCGAGAGAAAAAACAACTGGTTGAAGAGAGAGACCAACTGCGTCAGGTTAAAGACAAACTGACAAAGGAGAATGAAAAGCTACAGGCCGATAATAGCCTCCTGACTGTAGAACGAGAACTGTTAAATGAGAAGGTCACTGAACTACAGAAAAAGATAGAGGATCGTGTGTGGGGTGAGTTGACTTTAATTAATTCCAATATTTTAAAGGATGTCGATCAGTCAGTTCAGACTGAAGTATCTTAATATGAGACATTTTGTCAGACATTCATGGTCCACGGGAGTTGAATCCTTCTGACTTTATTGGCCCCCTGACTTTCCTGTAGCACCACCAGCAGGTCAATCTACCAGAACTCAACTGAATTATAAATCAAATAACCTTTTAAAACTTTGACTGAATAGTATGAGTTACATTTGTGTTTTTGCACTGATAGAATACCAGGAAGTAAAACAAAACTTAAACAGATTCATTATAGCATACATTACCCACACATACCTGGGTGAAAGATACATAGAGAATACATAATCTGTTTGAAGGTCAATAATCTTCATCAGCTCCTCAAGCAGTTCGGAGAATAAATGTCTCCAATTTGAGCATGTATAGGCAGGGGCGGAAATCCCGGGGGGGGCAGGGGGGACATGACCCCCTCTGCAGTAAAGCTGTCCCCCCCTAGAATAATTTGAGACACAATTAATAATTTTTGAACAATGCAGTAGTATTTATTGAAAGCACAATGTAAGCGCAATAATGTGCTATTTCAATCTTAAAAGATTTAGTTCCCCCCTCCCATTCCTAGTAGTGGTATATCCCACACTCTTTCCAACGGGTGGGGCTGCTTGGCAGCAGTAGCAGCGTGTGGCTGGAACCGCTGTCCACATCGCGCATCACAGGGTAAGATGTTCACTCACACAGACACAGTTTAACTTACACAAGTTACAACACATCCCATTTACTGTTACAACAAGCCCCAGGCCCAGGCTGATGATATAAACTGTCTGCAACATTTCTCCTGCATTGTTCAAAAGCCTACTCAATTACGAGTGCTGCTAAGCTAAAA